GGGGGGGGGGTAAAGGGGAAGGGAGGTGTGTGCCTGTGTGTGTGTGTGTGTGTGGTGAGACGCGCCCCTGTGAGGCGGGACGGGCGCTGCGCCGAGGGCAGGCGTTGGATGAGTCCATTCTCCCCGTGGGGGGAGGGGAGGATGCGAGGAAGAAGTCATCTTTCCCGCAGCGTTTATGCCGAGCTGACGAAATCTTCCCAGTTCTGCTTCGAACTTAAGGCTGTGCTGAGTTCTGCAAGGAAACCGAGGCTGGTGCGGTGCGGTGCTGCGGGGAGCGGCTTGTCTGCCTTCCCGCTCTTCCCCCCCCCTGTCCTCGTCCTGAGGTGGTACGCGCGGGGCGCAGTGGCCGCAGTGCTGCCGGCTCCGCCGCCCGAACGCTGCATCGCCGTCGCTATGGCGCTGTGCGGCCGCTCGGTTCTCCTCCGGCCGTCCCCGCGTCCCGCAGCGCGCCGCCCCAGGGCCGCCGAAGCATTCGTCAGGTAGCGGGCTAACCCGTAGGGATGTGATAGGGACGGGTTTGGGGGACGTTTTGGTGGACGCTGGGAGATGGGGACGGTGATTTGGGGAGCAGAAGCAGAGGCAGGTGGGGGCAGGAAGGCAGGGATATTCGCTCTTTTAGCTCTGCCGTCCTGTTTCTAAATCTAGAGGGACGCAGGGCTGTGTTTGGCTTGCCTGGAGTTCAGGTGTCAGCTCAGGTATCAGTAGGTTACTAGAGCAGCGTTTCTTTTTAAAGACTCAAGGTGTGTGCGTTAAGCTGCGGTGCGTTACCTGCAGTGTTTCGCTGTCACAGATTGCAGCCCAGGGCAACGAGGACAGCAAACATTTATAGCACTGTATGTGGAAGCACCCGCTGGTGTAAAATCTGGTGATGAGCTGGGATGCTGCAGATTGCCAGCAAACAATCAGCTGGCCACGCTAAATGGCTGTGTGGGAGCTCTAGGTTTTGCTGAAGGAGGGAATAAAAGTGCTTCTGCTTTACAGACAACGTGCGTGTGAAGAGAGAAATTGGGCGCTAAGAGAAATGGAGGTCGTTCTGTTTGCTTGAGATAGGTGAATATGGCTGCTGGGTGATGGCTGTGTTCCTTCTCAGCCTGTGCTTAGAAAGCCAACTGATCACAGGAGGGAGAGAAAAAAGGACGGTTGACTGTTTTCAAACATATATATATTTAATGAATAAGTTCGTTGCTTGCTTGTTTAGAAAGAGCCTAGAATTTGGAGAGCGTCTCACAATTCATAATCAGTAGCAAAACACCCAACAGGCAGGGAAAAAAAAAAAAAAAAAATCCCAGCAGAAACTGGAAGAGAAAATGGTTTCCACTCAAGCCCCTTTCTTTTCTGAGCCATTTCTGTAATTTGAGATCCTGTTTCAGAGTTGTCATGAGAACGTTCAGTGAACATCTGCAAGCTTTCAAGCTCCGCTGGGAGATCCGGACAGCATCTGCAATTTGGTGTGTTTGTAGGAGGCATGTCATCTGTTCTGGTTTTTTTTTTTTCCCCTCTCCAGCATTGGTTCTTGTGCTGCCTTTTTGCAGCCCAGATGGAGGCAGGGAGGTCGGTGTTTGCAATAAATTTCTCCAGCGGTCAGCAGATACCAGGCAGTTAATAAAAATAACTTAAAACAAAACAATCCGTTACCCTCCCTTCCTCCTCCCTCCCCCCCTCCGAGTCCCAAACAGGAATGGAAAAATTCTTAAGACTATATAAAGAATAGGGAAACGGACGGAGATGATTCTTGGAGTTCTTCCACATGGTGGTTCGGAGTTCTGGTGTGCTGTATGGTATGTTGGGAGCTGGTTGACCACGGGGACCCTCAGCATTGCAAGAACAAAAGGAAGAATGAAAGTTCTGCAAAAAAAGAGGAAAAATCACCCCTTAACTAAAAGATGAGTAATGCCCAAAGAAGGATATGCCTTTTTAGAAGATGATGTCATGCTTCGTGTGTCTGTGTTTTGCAGTGAATGAGTGTTTTAATTGAGAATACATGCGTTTCTGAACAAAGCCTCCGTTAGATACCACCATCTAGAATCCATGTGAGCTTGTTAATTTTGCATTACCTTTGTGTGAGATAGAGTGGGCAGATCCCCATTGTTAGTTACCCACGTCTGCAACAGACGCACAGCAAGAACTAATCAGTGTTATGTGTGGGGAAGTGCAAAATGAGTACTTGGGCTCATTTTACACTGTCTCTGCCTACATACCTAATATAAAACCGTTCTGGTTTTAATCACCGAGTGGTGAAGTGTGTGGGTTTTTTTTCCTACAGCTTCAGAGGAGCAGTCAGTGGGGTGTTAGGGAGAGTAGTGCTGCAGGAGTGGAAGAGCTGTTGTGGTTTCCCAACCAATTGTAGCTGGGGACATCTCTGTGTTGAAAGATTAACAGTTTGTATCCATGTGTTCCTCGTGTACTTACACCGGGGTTCAGGATTTGTAACAGCTTGTCTCACCTAATTATTTTTAATCATAGAATGTTTTGGGTTGGAAGGGACCCCACAGATCATCACATTCCAACCCCTTTGCTATAGGTAGGGCCACCAACCTCCAGAGGGTTTTTTTTTTTTAAAGGAGTTCTCTCTATTTTTGCTATGCAGAGAAGGGACCTCAAGTTCAAGGAGAAGAGAAGGCTCTGGGGAGACCTCATTGTGGCCTTCCAGTACTTGAAGGGAGGGTATAAACAGGAGGGGGAACGGCTGTTCATGAGGGTGGATAGTGATAGGACAAGGGGGAATGGTTTTAAACTGAGACAGGGGAGGTTTAGGTTGGATATGAGGAGGAAGTTTTTCACCCAGAGGGTGGTGATGCACTGGAACAGGTTGCCCAAGGAGGTTGTGGATGCCCCATCCCTGCAGGCATTCAAGGCCAGGCTGGATGTGGCTCTGGGCAGCCTGGTCTGCTGGTTGGTGACCCTGCACACAGCAGGGGGTTGGAACTACATCATCATTATGATCCTTTTCAACCCAGGCCATTCTGTGATGAGGGAGAAGATGACAAGTTGCCAAATTTAGGTGCTTTCTACCGTACTGGAGAATTAAGATGTTTTAGGGTCTGTTGACTGCCAGGCTGAGATCAAAGTTGGAAAGGATGTGGTGCTGTGTGGTTGACAGAAGTGGAAAGATAGAGCAAAAAGGAAAAGTCACCAAGGAGAGGAGTAGAGCTATGAGATGAACTCAGCTGTATGTGGTGCTCCAGCTACCATTAGCTCTTGGAGGTCATTGGGCTCCAGCTGATGGAGAGCATTCTGGTTTGGTACTGTGTGGCCACATGGCTGCAGTGCTGGTGGTCCAGTAATGGGCTCTGAAAATGAATTCAGTCTTAGGAAAGTAAATTTAGTTTTGTAGCGCTTCTGATTTCAGAACCTGATAAAGCAGGTTCTGTCTGCTTACAGTGAATAAGTGTTAATTATGTTATTGTCCACAAAACATAAGAAGAACATAACAGAAGTCAAGAGGCAAGGAGTATAATGCACGCTGAGTTCAAGTTTGTTCCTCCAGATCCAGTTTAAATACTGATTAATTAATGTTGCTGAGTATACTGTTTCTAAAGGTGCTGGGTCTCCTATTTGCAATGAAATTGCCAGTGTACATTGTAGGGAAACTCTGAAAATAGGTGGGAAATCGTGATGTGTTGAAGGTGAGCGAGCTCCATTGTTTTTTGTGCAGTAAAACAGAATTATTTTAGTGAATTAAGAAGAGGAAAAAAACCAACAGCCTTACTGAAGCTGGATATTAAATTTCAAATAGGCTGCTTTTGAAATTGATGGATTTCTGAGAGTCCTTAGCACAGCCTTGCTTCTGGCTTCTCTTTTCATAAATGTCTTAAGATGGGGATCGTGTCAGACTGTGGGAAAGCCAGTGCTCTGCTCTGCACAGAAAATAACAGCATTGGAAGGCCAGCAAAGAAGCCTTGCAAAGAACAAACTTGATTTATTTTATTTCTGGCGACTAGAGTGGAAACAGATGGTGGTAGCAGCCAGCTCATTGGGAGTGAGAGCTGGGAGAAAGGAGGAGCCATTCCTTCTTTCCTTTATGTTTAATTGAGTTAAAACTGTATCTTTCTTAGGTAGCCAGCCTGCATCTCTTCAAATTGTTCTCTGATTGCTAATGTGAAGGTTTCCTGGGTCTTGCCAGGGGGGTTTCAGTGTTCCCCCATGTTGGCTGCTCTCTGTTCAGGCTTTATCATGTGTGGGTTTTTAGCCTTTGTGGGGGAGGAGTGTAACATCTGCCAATATGGAGCAAAACATGCTCAGCTCAGCGCTGCCCTGAAATCACATCCATCACCCAAACAGCACAGAAACCACAGCTGTGCCATCCCAGACATTGACAGAGATCAACCTGGAACTGATAGGAGATCGATGCTGATGGTGCTGCGTTCGTGCCATAGGGTCACAACAAGAAAAGAAGCTTGTGCACAGAATGAATTCAGCTGGTGGCAAGGAGTGCAGTAAAACACCGTGGAAACATAAATTAAATGGGTGTTAAATACGGTGTGGCATCATTTTAAAAACGTATTTGTGGTTTTTTTCTTCTGATTGAGAAAGGCACAGTTGTTAATTGCGTTCATTTGCTGGCACGCACAGCTTGTGTCTCTCACTGGGTTGTGAGAGGCAGTGCTGTTACAAAGGCATTTTGCATAATCAGTATGAAGACGTGTGAACAGACGAGATTTCTAATTCTTAGAAGTTAATGATTATCATTCTTCCCCCCTTTTGGCATCTACTCCAAGACCAAGCCAATACGGTAACAAACAAATTCTTAATTGGCCTAAGCACACGTTGTTGCCAGATGCTGCCCCACGCTGTGTTTTGCCTTCTGACCCCCCTACATCAGCAGTCAGGTCAGCTGCTGATGGCTGAAAGCATTATATATTTTTTAATCCCTGCTCTAGCGTTTGTTTGGATCCATAAGCTCATCTGACTTGACACATGGCTTCAGGATCGTTAGCACAGATACAAAGGGAGAGACACAGAGCCTTGCAGCAACAAGGGCTCTTATTTTGGCATAAAGCAAGGTAGAAATTGCATCTGCTGTTAAAAATTGTGTGGTGGAAACATTCTCCCTTCACCTACATCTATTTCTTACCCACTTTGAAAGCACCTGGCTGCCCGTGCTTGCTTTCTGGGCATGTTTGCAGTAGACATAGTTAAGTAACTTGCAGCTCAGGTCTTGCTGAAGTCTAAGAATTACGGATTGCCTTAGAAGGTTTCAGTAAATTGTGCTTTCAAACGTGCCTAATGCTCATCTTCAGCATTGAGCTGCTGTAACATGAAGCTGTGGTTGCATATCAGTAAAAATCTTTTGCAGTGAGGGTGGTGAGGAGCCCATTGGAATGGGCTGCCCAGGGAGGTGGTGGAGTCACAGACCCTGGAGGTATTCAAGGAATGGATTTTATGTGTTGAGGGACGTGGTTTAGTGAGAACTATTGGTGATAGGTGGATGGTTGGATGATCTTGAAGATCTTTTCCAACCTTGGTAATTCTCTGAGGCACTGGAACAAGTTGCCCAGAGATGTGGTGGGTGCCCCATCCCTGAAGACTTTCAAGGCCAGGCTGGGTCAGGCCCTGGGCAAGCTGATCTAGTCATGGTTTCCCTGTTAATTCCAGAGGAGTTGGACTGATGGCCTTCAGAGGATCCTTCCAATTGTAAGGATTCTGTGATTCTAAATGGAGATCAGAGCCCTGTCTTCCAGGAAAGCATTCCAAAACCCAAAGGGTCATACTGCTTTTCAAAGGACATTCTTCATTACAACCCAAGGAATTGTGGATGCCCTATTCCTGGAGGTGTTCAAGGCCAGGCTGGATGTGGCTCTGGGCAACCTGGTCTGCTGGTTGGCAACCCTGCACATAGCAGGGGAGTTGAAACTGGATGCTCACTGTGGTCCTTTTCAACCCAGGCCATTCTATGATTCTGTTTGGAATTGTGTTACTGGGGCAAGATGGAAAACTCAGTTCCCTATGTACAGCACTCACTTTGGAGGTGGGAAAAGTCAGGGGTTTTGTTCCCAGGGCCATTGCTGTGTTTTTGTCAGATGGCTGCTTAATGTGAAATGCAAGAAATTGCCATTTTTTCTCTGACTTCATACACAGTCCAGCCCGTATTGTTTAAAAGCGTGTAGTGAGAGTTCTAATGATTCCCTTCAGTGTTTCTGAATAACATCTTTCTTCAGGCACAGAAGTTGCCTGTTTTTTAATGTCAGCCTTTCAATGTAATGATTGATGCACACTTGAAATGACGTCGAAAATATCTCAGAAGCTTTTTCAAAGATTTCTTTCATAGAAACCACCTCTTTAACCGGGGCAAGGAAAAACGTCCTGCCGAAAGCTGTTGAACGTTAAAGGTTGAAATAAATCTATATCTATGGTCTTATATTTTGTTATGAAGTAACACAGTCTGAACATATAGTTTCCCTTTTGTGCTCTTCTCTGCTCATTGCGTGGGCACGTAATGCTGTTTTTTCTTGACAGAGGATGAACCTATTTGATCAGATCTACCTTTTGTTGGACTTGATGTTGGACTTGAGTGTGTCAATCGATCACAGAATCATAGAACGGCCTGGGTTGAAAAGGACCACAATGCTCATCCAGTTCCAACCCCCTGCTATGTGCAGGGTCACCAACCAGCAGACCAGGCTGCCCAGAGCCACATCCAGCCTGGCCTTGAATGCCTGCAGGGATGGGGCATCCACAACCTCCTTGGGCAACCCGTTCCAATGCATCACCACCCTCTGTGTGGAGAAACTTCCTCCTAATCTCTCTCCTTTACTGTTCATCTGAATGTTTGAATGGCATTTAGATGAGCTATAACGTACATCTTTCATCTCTTTCCTGTCTTTCAGAGAAAGTAGAGCGTGATAATTGTAGTCTCACTAAAAAGATATATTTGCTTTTTACTTAAGTAACTGTGAAAACAGGAATGCTTGATGTTGCTTTCTTGCTTATTTGGGTATACCATAAATTTAACTCAGTTGGAGAGCTAAAGGTTACCTGGGAAAGGTTAGGGAAATGTTCCAGATATCTCAATTGGTAGAGGAGGGGAAAGTTCCTGTAATTTGTGTTAAGTATTATTCACCCTAAACGTGTTTTGTGCTGTGGTTTATATCAACTGAATACACAGTAATGTAAGTGATGTTTATTACTATGTCGTGCAGAAGCAAATCTATAGTAAAAAGTCTGGTTCTTTTTGAGTTGAGCTTTTGTTACGAGAGTATGGCTTCCAATTTTCTCAGTGTAGACTAAGTTAATCTGGAGTGTGTGTGATGTAGTAATACAGGGTGGAAGTGGTCTGAGGGTGCTGGGGGTGTTCGAGTTCTCTCTCAGCTTCTGCAAACCCCTCTTGGGCTATCAGAGCCACTGCAATCCTTTTTCTCATTACCTCTACCTGGGCTTCACCTGTCCTGCAGTGCTTTGCTCCCTGCTTCTAAGGTACAGCAAGGAGCACTGCTGGCTTGGTGCAGGGAAACATGAACAGAAGTTCTTGCTGGAGGTGAGAGATTAACCAGAGCACGTGCTTAGAGACAATAGTTATAGGTTCTAGTTTTCTCTTAAGAACCAATTCTCTTTCTTTTGCAGCTGCAGCCGCCTGCGGAACATCCAGAGCATCCTGACACAAAGCAGCAAATCTCAACCTGATGGAATCCTTTGCATTTTAGGTTAGTGTTATTCTTTTTCCCTCTCTTCTCATTGTATTCAGATGCCATGAATTTCAGAAACGGTAGCATAATCCACTTTTCTTGCCCTTTGTTCTTCAGCAAGCAGACATCTATCTGATAATTAAACTCCCTCCTCCCTAAAATAGTTCTTAGATCTATTTACTAATTTCAGGCTTGCTTAGTGCAATAATAACATTATCAATGCTCTTTTCCAAGCTTTGAGGAAAATCCAGTGGCTGGAGGGAAGAGGGAGTTTTTCTCAATGTCCACACTGAAAGGAAGATGGGAGAACTTAACCTATTTGGGACAAAAAGTCAGCTATCCAGGCGGCGTTTTGTTTCTTGGTGTAAGAGGTGAAGGCTGGTGTGTTGCAGCTGGTTATTCCATGAATGCAGGAAAGTGAAGGGACTGGAGGGAACCCTATGAGTTCCAATGTTAGTAATGATGATGTGCGTGGTTATGGAGAACGGTGACTGAGAACAAGCATGGCTCTTCTCCCTGCTTGGCTTACAGGGGAAATAGGTTACATGGATTTGCATTAAGAAGTGATACTAAGAAGAATTTCCTGCCATAGTCTATTTTATATAAATCTGTCTATCTCTCTCTATACATATAGATGGATTTTTTTTTTTTAATGGTGCAGCAAGAGCAGAAGAACACAGACTGGAAGGGACGGTCCTTGAGAGCTGCACTGCAGAGAAAGACCTTAGCTTACCGTGAGCCAGCAGTGTGCTCTTGAAGCTTGGAAAGCAAATGATATCCTGGGCTCCATCAGAAGAGGGGTGGCCAGCAGCAGGGACAGGGAGGTGATTGTCCCCCATTACTCTGCTCTTGTGAGGCCCCATCTGGTGTATTGTGTCCAGGTCTAGAGCCCCCAGCACAAGAAAGACAGGGAGCTGTTGGAGAGGGTCCAGAGAAGAGCCACAGAGATGATCAGGGGGCTGCAGCACCTCCCCATGAAGACAGGCTGAGAGAGCTGGGCTTGTTCAGCCTGGAGAAAAGAAGGCTGCGGGGTGACCTCATTGCAGCCTTCAGTACCTGAAGGGAGCCTACAAACAGGAGGGGAATCAACTCTTTGAAAGGGTAGATAACAGCAGGAAGAGGGGAAATGGTTTGAAGTTGAGGGAGGGAAGATTTGGGTTGGATGTCAGGGGGAAGTTCTTTACAGAGAGAGTGGTGAGGTGCTGGAACAGCTGTCCAGAGAGGCCGTGGATGCCCCGTCCATCCCTGGAGGTGTTCAAGGCCAGGTTGGATGGGGCCCTGGGCAGCCTGGGCTCATATGAAATGGGGAGGTTGGTGGCCCTGCATGTGGCAGGGGGTTGGAGATTCATGATCCTTGAGGTCCCTTCCAACCCTGGCCATTCTGTGATTCTGTGAAGAAGACTTGAAGTTTTCTTGGGCCATAAAAGAAACAGTAGAACCTACTTCTCTTTAGATTGATGTTGCCTGTATAACTCTTTCTAACCCACACTTCCTACTGTAATAGTTTGAGATCTAAGGCTAATAGTAGCTTCATGGCTGAAAGATCTATTAAGGTAGCTGTGTCGATGGAATTTAATTACACAAGATAAAGATCTTGGTTTTGCTTTTGATGCCAGCCTAACTTCATAAAATACATCAAGTTGTGCCATCTCTGCCATTGGCTCTGCATTACTCTCTGACTATTGGTAATGCTAAAGCTGCACTAAGTCCCAAGCAAATGGTTGACCTGTTTTATGAAAAACATCAGTTAAAAGGAATCTCTTTGAGTAAACCCCAGAGCAATGTGGAATGTTTAAGACCATGCATAAGACCATACCTCTTAATAAGCATTTCTCTATGGAAGTATAGGAAGTGTTTTGTTGTTAAACTTGTGCTCTGCATTAATCTCTTTCTGCACCCACAATGAGACTGTTGTCTAATCTGATCTGACTAATGTAGTCTGAAGAATTTCTCACATAACTTCTGGTTAAGCAAGAATGTCTTTCTTACAAATGCTTTAAAACAGTCTTGAAATTCACACTTGGCGTGACAAAAATGTCTTGATTCCTCTTGACGTTTGTACAAAGCAGATAATCTTACACTTTTTATACAGTCAGCACAGTTATATTTTTCCTGGCTATATTTAATGACCTGGGCTTAGTGGATTTCTCTTCCCCCAGCTTTAGTTTGGCTAATTACAAATAATCCTGGGTCTGATATTCTAAAGTATTGAACGGTAGCATTCTGCACTCTTTGCTGGGGACAGGAGGCATTGCAAATGACAGGAAAAAGGACTGTGGAGGTCAGGGGAGAAGAGAGGTGTGTCAGATGTGTCTTTAAAAACCTCAGTGGGGCTGTGTTGTTGTTCAGTCTGTTAAGAAAACAGTCTATTGACCTACCTAAATCACACTGTCGCTTTTTAAAATGAACTGTGTTGCTCACAGTTTACCTTCTAGCTCTCTGTTAAATTGATCTGCTTTCCAAGGATGTGTGTTTGATTTCAGTAGGTTGTATCTGTAAATCTGTCTGTAGGTTGTAGCTCTTCTGATTGATCTGTAGTTTGATCTATAGTGTAGGTAAGTACATTTTAATGGACTTTGACATTTACTTTTCCTATCCTCTTCAGGGACAGTAAATCTTGCATTCCACAAGGCAGTTCCACAGCTGTGTGATGGTTTTGAATGGCTGGCAAAAGGTGACCTGTCCGTTTTCTCCAGCATCACCTTCCTGTACCCTTGTGGGTATTCAGCATGATACAGAACAGCTCTTGGTTTTGCTGCAGGAGGGCATGCCACGAATGCTTGGCTAGGACACAGAAAGCAGCACTACATCTCCCTCTAGGTTGTTTTTGTCAGCTTAGCAACTGGGAAATGGCAAATATGTGAGATGGCAGAGCTGAATAACCTTCTGTTGTAGGAGTCTGAATCTGTCCCTAGTCTGCTCCTCTTTATTTTTTTTTGCATCGGTTCTGGTGTTCTTCTGATATCTTGCACGCAGTACATCTTGCTGAGCTGACAGGCTTTCCATACCTGCCTGGCCCTCAGCCTGTTTGATGAACTGAATCAGCTTGGAGAGGCCAGATAAGCACTGGTTGCAGCACTGGCTCTTGGGCAGCAGTGGGCTGCTGGCCTGAGTCACTGTCTAGCAACGCCCTTGTGATGAGTTGGGAACAGAGATTACTAAATTTGCAGCTCTGTTGGAGCCAGGCGTGGGGGTTTCCTAGTTGCTGGCCTTCCCCATTGTTCTCTTGAGGGCTCCTGATAGACTTTTTGGATGCATCTTATCTTTGTCATTGTTTCATTTCCTGTTTATTTTCCACTGAATGTTCCTTTAACTCCATCTGCCTCTATAGAATAATGCTAAAGCCACAGCATGAAAAATCCTGGCTAAAAAAGAGCAGGTGCATACAGATGCTTCTCATACTCTTCCAATGATTACTGCACCTTTTTAATAAGGGCATTTCTCTTTTTCTTCTGATTTTTTTTTTTTTTTTTTTTTTTTTTCCCAGGCTTCTTATTCTTCCTTTTTCCTACTAACTCTGTTACTCTCTTTGCCTGTCCCTGCTTCTCACCACTTTGGCTACTTAGGCCTTGTAGACCACAGCCATGAGCCTGGCTGGATGGAAGTGGCTGTGACTTTTGCCCCTTTTCCTTTGCTCAGCCCACAGTTGCTGATGTCTTGTTAGATTAGCGTTGGGTATGGTAAGAGATGTTTGCTTGTGGAACATCAGTAACGCCCCTTGCAGAACAACTGATCTAACAGCTTGCTGCCACTGAAGGGGACCATCCTAACTCTTGCTTTGTTCTCAATTGATTGCTCATCTGATTGCCTTCAAAAGATGCTTCAGTTAGGCAAGTCAGCAGTAAACCAGATTATCTTCAGCACATTGTGTGTGCTAGCTTTCAAATGCTATCCTAGATTTCAAGGTGACTGGTTACATTTCAATAGTTCTCAAGAGCAAAGGGCTTTTACTTCCTGGGAGGGAGCATAGAGGACTGAGTCTGAGGATTGTTTAGCTGAGTCGTATTTGTGCCGTGACCTGAGTTCCAGATGAGCTGCCAAGGCTCCCTTTTGTTAGGGAACACCTCCTAACGTGCAGAATTGGAGCATCATGGAATGGTTTCAGTTGGGTCACGTAATTCCAATTTATGTACTACATATTTTGTCAGAATACCTTTTTTATTATTTGTTCGAAGTTTGCAGTGGCTTTCTGGTGACTCAGGGATTATACTGTAATACTTGCAAGATAGTGTTTAATCATGTATTCCAAAGCAGGAGATTTAGGTCACAGGATTAGTTTGTTAGGAGGCTTCAATCAAGAACATATTTGTTGGAATGAACTGCATGCGGACAGATGTCAGGTTTGTGTCACTGAAGTTGAAATTCTGTTGCTTTAGAACACTGCAAACTTTATTTAAAGCAGAGCCTGTAGATTTGGGTCAAGGGAGAAGTGAGGGTATGTAGCAACAAACTTGAAAAACTCCCTTTTCCCTCCCCTGCTTTTCCACTGTGTTAAAGCAGAATGCTCCCTGACTGTGAGAAAGTGTTCAGATAAAACTCCTATTTAAAAAGTTTTCTTATTTGGGAAGAACCCAAAGTTTTCAAGCGTACTATATTAAGACAGAACATCTCATGTATGATTTTGCTTTTGCAGGAATAGACAGTCGATACAATGAAGGCTGCAGGGAGCTGGCCAACTATCTGCTTTTTGGCTTGTATAATCAGAGTAACAATGACTTTGAAAGAACTGGTTTTCCTGAAGAAGTTCTTGATGGTAAGTAGTGTGTTTAGCATTTTCACCCATTCTTTCCTCTTTCTGGAGGTGGAGTGAGCTGGGAAAAGGGACACACCTCGCTCTAATTGTATGAAAACTTGATGGAAACACTCTCCCAAAGAGTGTTTTCAAACATACCCCACTCAGATGCTATGAACGTGGAGAAATGCACCACTATGAGAAGTCCTGGTTCAGTCATGGTATTTTTGTACGTTTGTTATCAATCAGTGTGTGATAAACCAGTGGAGTTTTAAAATACTCTTGGTTGTTTTTTTTCTTTTACTCGAACATATTTACTCATTTTTGTAATAGTTGAAAGGCAGCCAATCACTGTGTGCATTATTCCCTTATTTTTTACAAAGCTTTAAGAATCCATCTTGTGTGCTGCAAGGCTGGTTTTCAGTTGGAGCGACCTCCTGATGTAATATCAGGCAAGAGCAGCTGTAGTTTACAGTTCTGAGTGCTCTGTGAGTGCTCATCTCTGACACTCTTGGCTTGTCAAAGGACAGGCTGATGCAAGTTCTTTGCAAGACTTCAGAATAAACCCACAGTTGTTCCAAACAGAGAAAAGTTCTGTTGTAGTAGGAGCAGTGTATGGCTGCCAACTTTTCAGAGAACAGGGAAAAAAAAAAAAGTGGGGAATGATTGTTTATTTAAATAGTTAAACAATTTCTTTTAATGAGGCACAGTATAGGGAAAGTGCTTTCTGTTCAGCTCCTGTGTTCATTTTGTGGTTGTACAATTATGGAGTACTGATGCTGGAATAATGCTTGTTCTGGTTGTTGCAGACATAATCATACTAATAAAACCTGATAGTGTCCATCTGTACTGTAACCCTGTGAATTATAATCATCTTTTGCCATACGTGGCTTGCTGGAGGAACTTGCATTTCCACTGCCTAACTGAAAATGAGGTAAGTGGAAAAGGGGTGCAGATAAGACTTGCATTTCAGTAATACCTCTCTAATGAACTCATTCAAAATGGAACTTTTATTTACATTCCATCTGGAATTCCTTTTCTATTTCAAATTCCATAGGGAATGATCTGTATTTATGTATGATTTTTATTTTCTTTTGCCAATGTTTGCAAGAGAAATATGTTTTGAGTATTCTGCATTTGCTGGCACGTAACAAGAAATTGCTCCCCTACTAATTTACTCTTGTTTTGATATGACTCAGTGATCTTTCAATGAGGAAAAATGTGGGCTAGAAAAAATGCAGGATCTGAATCACATACATCAGTCAGCATTGTGGTTTCCCATGATGGCTGTGTTTCCTATTAAAGCAGTGTTATAATGCAATAGTTTGGGGATATTAGAAAAGATTGGCTTAGTTAGGCATTTAAAATCAGTAAACTCTATTATCTATCTTGGTTTTAACTTTCATCTATTCCTTTCAAGTGGTATTAATCTCTGTAATGAGAAAGGCTGGGTTGTGTCACTCACTTCAATCAGAATGTGGCTACTGGATGAGAGTCTCATTTTGCACTTAAAAGCCAAGGTATTCTTAGAAAAGCTACGTGTATTGTAGTTATTCTAGTAATGATAGAGGAGTAAAGAATGAAAATAGTTGCCCATTCTTATTTTTTGTAGTGAATGACACCAGGGAAGGTGCTTGTAGGCAATCAGTTGCTTAGCTGCTAAGGGCTTGTGCCACTTCTGTATGTTTGCAGGATTATAGAGCAGCACTCTGTTGCCACTGTGTGCTACTCTGCAGGTAGTTCTGGTGCTTATTGAGGTGCAGAGTATGAACCTTTTTATTCCACTTGAGACTGGAGTAGTGTTTATTCTCTACTATGAAGGCAAATTTCTCCATTAAGTTCTGTTACTTTTCTAAATTATAGTGATGCTGAAATCTGAGAATGGTGTCTTAGGAGCCTTGATGAAAAAGGGTGAAACTAGTGGAAAAATAAATGAGAAGGTCAGGGAGACAATCATTTTGTTCCCTTCTGCTTCCAACTTGAAAGTGATGGGGATTACAATTAGTAATGTTTTTGTGGGGCTGCTTTCTAGTGAGATTATATCCCAGAATTATGAAATAATCTAGGTTAGAAAGGACCTTCAGAAATAATCTTGTCTAACCCTTTTCTTAACACAGGGTCAGCAATGAGATCACATCAAGTTTTTATAGCTGGGTGTTGAAAACCTCCAAGGATGACAACAGTAGAACCTGTCTTGGCTGTCTGACTTACCATTAGTTGGCTGTTCTAAAGGCAGAAAGTGTTTCCTTTTATCCAATCTGTATGTCTTTTATTTCAAATCTTTGTCATACAACCTGCCAGTGCATAGCACTGTGAATAGCCTGTCTTTGCCATCTCAGTAACTATTTTCTAGATGTTGAAAGGAAGCTATGAGGTGCAACCACAGCCTCTGAGCAATAGCAGAATCTCAGCCTCTCCTCACAGGATGAGTTCTCCAACCCCTTGATGTGCTTGGTAGCTCTCTACTGAGCTTATATACCAGTCCCAAACAGTATTCTGGATAGAGTCTCATGAGTTCTGCACGGTTAACTACTTGCTGTTAAGATGGAAACAGCTGAACCACAGGTTAAAACACACCATAGCAAAATCTTAAACCTTTCACCTCATAAGGTTTTTGTGTTGTGAAACACACTACTGAAAGGACCAATCTTGCAGCATGCCTGAAGGCAGTCAACCATGCATTTTGGAATGAAGAATGGAGGCATTCTTAACACACTGCTTCTAGCATAACTGCAGTCTAAGCTATTTTAAAATAAGCTGCATCTGCTTATGGGCTTTTGTATGATTTGTCCTGGTAAGTAGTCACCTTAATCACACAGGGCTAGCTTGAAATAATGATCCAGCTGGAAAGGTAAACTGCACAGAAACAAATGGGAAGGCTTGGGATTTCTGTTGCTGAAAATACAGGGTTTATTTCATTGCATCACACAGCTCATTTGTGCAGCAGCAGTTCCTCTCATTTCTTATGTATAAGAATTGCCAGTTTCCTAGATTACTTCTGAATTACTAAAAACCCCACACAATTAAAAGAATGCTGCTGTGTCAATCTTTAGATACATCCTGGTTACACAGAGATTGCCTGCAGTGGCTTTCAAGCAGTCTTCTTTTTCTTTTTTTGTCAGCGATAGAAATAATTTTTTGCTTGCTTTTCCAAAAAGTGAAACATTGCTCTGGAAATACAGCAAGTAATGCCATACCTGGCTCTGTAGCTCTTGATAAATCTGGCTAAACCTTTGTTTCTCCCTCCTTCCTTCTTTCCCACTTGTCTGTAACCAGACCACAGGATTTTCAAGCAGTTCAGTAAATCCAAGTCTTATATCTGGGTTGTGACAATCCCTGCTATCAGTGCAAGCTGGGGGAGATAGGGGCAGAGCACAGCCCTGCTGCAAAGGACCTGGGGATAATGATGGGGTAGCAGCTGGATGTGAGCCAGCAATGTACCCTTACAGCCCAGAAAGCCAACTGGCTGCATCCAAAGAAGTGTAGCCAAAGCTCTGAGCTGTGGGTGTCCCTGTTTGTTGCAGGGGAGCTGGATTAGATGGTCTTTAAGGGTCCCATCCAGCTCAAACCATTCTATTACTCTAACTTAAGTGGATATTCTGTCTTAGTGAAAGGAATATCATACAACTGAGGAATGCTTGTTTTCAAAATGGCTGAGTAAGATAGGAGTTTATTGCCAAGTAAGATAGGAATTGTATAAGTTTTTTGAGTAAACCAGTTCCTGTTCTGATGGCATTTTAAGTTTTGAGAAATTGGCAGTTCTTTAGTGCTTGGCTTTGACCTGAAACTTTGATCTGGTTTTCTGAGACTGAATAAAGAACACATCGTGGAGGAACTTGGGCTCCGTCTTAAGTTCAGGCTTGTCTGAAATGAACTTGTTCTTAAAATAAATGTCTTGGCTGTACCCTGAAGCTCCCAAGAGCTGCATATAGAAAGTTCTTAGTCTTCTGTGTAATTTACCTTGGGCAATGTAAAATAAAATAGGATAAAAGGTAAGCAAAACACTTCTGCCTTCTGATCATGCCCTGGAAGGCAAGTGTCTCATGAAATGAGGTTGGCTGTGACTTCTTTCCTCCTGCTTTTCCTCTAAATACTGCTTCTTCAGTCAGGAATTAGTTCTCATTGCTTGCTTGGGACCTGAGGCGTAACTAGTCAGTCTGTTGTCCTGTATTAATGCTGGTAATCTACTAAGACTTTTTTTTCCCCTTCGTTTTCTTTGTGGCACAACAGGTGGTACTCTCAAAATATCTTTCATTGTTGAAAAATTGTCCAGAATCAAACAGTTGACTTTCAAAATATTTCACCAATAACTAAAAAGTACTGTATGCATTTATGCCTTATTAAAAACCTTGTTGTAAAGCTGGATTAAAAAAATTTAAAAAGTCTCCATTGGCTTGAATGTGTCCGTGCCATGATATAGTCTTCAAAACAGAGAGGTTGAAGAGGTTCTTTTAGTTTTTGGGAGCTGTGGGTAATATTTTGGTGGATTACATGATATGACACTTGCCATGCGATTAAAACTGTACAATATATGTTTTCTTCATAGTAAAACTAACAGTCCAACTAATTTAAATGTTGTCTTTCAGTATGAAGATGAAGAAGCTGCAGAAGAATTCAAGATTTCCAGCTTCGTAGACATGGTTCGAGATTGCAGTCGCATTGGTATTCCATACAGCTGCCAAGGTAGGTTAGCTTGCTTTATGTTTAACGTAAATGCTTTGCAGCATGCAAGTCAAGCAGTTCAAGGAATGAAGATTTCTTTGCCTTTGGTAAGAAATAAGGATTAATCTGGCCTTTTTTTCCTGCTTAGGAGTTGGATTTCTTTCTGAAAAACGTTAGCCCATAGACTTCATCTGAAGAGTGAATGCTCTCAGTGTGAGACAGAGAAGTGATTTGCATTCAGAGGAGTGTGTTCTGCTACTACAGAAGTTCTCTGTTCAGATGGGAGCTTGATAAATGCTCCTTTATGTAAAGAAAGAATAAACATTTCATTATGCAAGTTTCCTATTTTAGCACTGAAGAAACTGGGCTGTGTGGCTTCCTGTTATGATCTGTAGCCAGCCTTGCATTCTGAACAATTTAATCTTATATTGTTCAGTAAAGTGTATTTTGCTGTATCCCTACCAGTGAATAATGCTGAAGCAAAGCAATGTATGTGCTTGCTCACTGTGGGGTTTTTCATCTGTAGTACAGTAGGTGAAAGATAAGTGGTTTTCTTGGTTTGGGTTTTTTTCTCTTATGAAGAAACTTTTTTTTTTTTTAACTGTTCAGATTCAAAGCAGAGTACTTTCATTAGCTTTGTTTTCTCAGTAACAGTACCACGTTTTCTCTCTGCTTGTGTTCTCAAAGTTTAAACAGCAGCATCTGGAAACGTTGTAGGTGTTCAAGACCAGGTTGGATGAGGCCCTGGGCTATCTGGTCTAGTGCCAGATCTGGAAGTTGGTGGCCCTGCCTGTGGCAGGAGGTTGGAACTTGATGACCTTTGGAGTCCCTTCCAACCTAAGTCATTCTATGATTCTTTGCTTCCCCTAAGGAATAGGTGATATGCTCTCATTGCCTGTGAAATCCTTAATGAATTGGGGCAAGGGAAAGGATGGTGGAGGCCCTTTCTTAGGAAATCCCTACAGAAAGTGTGTGTCTTAAGGGCAGTGATTATTCTTCAATTCAGATGACTTAGAGCTCCACTGATGAGTTTTGTTATGTCAGACTGAACAGTTTCCCCTTCCCCAACCTAAAATTCTGACTAAAATGGGGGCAATGATGATTATATTGTACTTAAGGCCAAGGAATAGAAGATGTTGGAATAAGCATTGCTTCTTGCCTGAATTTGAATGAGAAAAATGCTCTTGGAAACAGATTTTCAAGGAGGATTAATACCTTTTATTAGGCTGATAACTGGAAAAAATGGACAAAACTTCAGGTGAGTAGAGTAAAAGGAGTCTTCAGAAGTTGCCTTCCTCACAAAAACACACATTTGAAGTTGTACAAAAAAGATAATCAAGAGCCCTTATTAGATTCTCAGAGCACTCAAAGGTCGTACAGGAGCTGACGATGTCTGTGAAAGAATGGTTATGTGAATCTTCTCTTTTGCAGGTCATCTACAGATCTTTGATATGTTCATTGTTGAGAAGTGGCCGATAGTGCAGGCTTTTGCACTGGAGGGAATTGGTGGTGATGGCTTCTTTACCATGAAATATGAAGTGAGTACTTCAGTTTTTCATTTTTCTACGTCATCCTTTTTGAAACAGAAGTAGATTCATGGAATCATTTTTAGCCAAAAATTGACGTGCTGCTCACAGTAGGCTCAACTTTTAAATTGAGTGTTTTTCCAAGCTGTGTTTTGAATGTCCAAGGATGGAGACAAGACTCACCAAAAGACTGTCACGAGCTGCCCGATACTCGGTCCTGGCTAAATGATTGTTATTTCACCTGGAGCCTTCTGCTGTGATTTAGAATGTTTTTCTTTATGATCCGTGGTGTCCTAATAGCAGACACACAACTCCTTCAGCTCTGCTAGTTGGGAGCAGATCTTCGTGAATGCTGTAGAATGAGCTGAGAAAATGGCTGTTGCTGAGAAAATCAGAGCAGTGAGCATGTTACCTCACCTCTGAGCCATGTTCCAGCATGACTTCTTGCTTCCTTCCTCCTTCAAGTCATAAGGGGATTTCAAGTGGGAAGTGGCATTCTTAACTTTTTACATAACTGCTTTTGCATGGTTGTCTGTCAAGCAGCTGCTGTATGTCACAGGCAGGGAAAGGAAAAACAATCTGTGGAGGGAAGTGCACTTGGGATTGCTGTAAATGATCTATAAATTAATACTTTCTCCATTATTAAAATGGAATGGCTTTTCTTGATCTATTTGTAGCTCCTCAAACTTACCTTCCCTCTGCTGCACATTCAATGCTGCTAAATTAGAATATCTGAAATCCACTGAGACATTCCTAACCTTTTTCTAGTGTTTTTAGGGTACTTATTCTGTTACATAACAACACTGTAGTAACTACAAGAAATGTTTTGGGTGTTATATGGTAAAATAAATGTTATACGATTTGCTTGAGATACTGTTACCTGGTTTTGTTTGGGAAATGGTTGCCTTCATATTAGGAGCAGTTGAAACAACTGTGTAAAACAGGCTGAGAGGGGACAGAGTACATGCAGAAGTCATTCAGATACAGGTGTCCTTCAGGAGTGTGTTTTTGAAGAGCTTATTGTATGCATCCTCTTAATGCTTGGAAGAATGTAGTGCTAATTGCCAGGTTCAACCAGCTTTGTCTAAATGTCAACTTTGCATGTAATGTGAATGGACTATTGTATAGCACATGAAATCTACAGAAAACTGACTTTTCCCTTCTGGTTGCACCAGCTGCCATTATTCCTAACTGTTTAATTGAGTTTTCAAAAGAGCTTCGTTGTTTTGTTTGAAAGATGCAAGCAAAACTTTGTGCTGAAGCTGATGAGCGTTCAGAATATTTGCATCCTTTCCAGTCCATTCCTTTGTAACCAGTACTTCTAAATGCAGAGTTAAGGAGGACTGTGGCTGGGCAGTGTGCTGCAGGTCTGTTTTCAACGCATCTCAGACCTGTATATGGGATGTTCCTCATGGCATTTCTCACAGAATTACATTTAAAATATTTTTCAGTTAATGGATGTCAGTGTTGATTTGTGGAAAACATACAGCAAGATGGATCCTGTTTCCTTGGAGGATTTGCTCTTCGAGGTAATACTGCAAATAGCTGCAGAGTCTGCAGAACTTGAAAATAGCTAGACATGGATTCCTTGTAACTCTTAGAATCATAGAATGGCCTGGGTTGAAAAGGAACACAATGATCATCTGTTTTCAACCCCCTGCTGTGTGCAGGGTCACCAACCAGCAGACCAGGCTGCCCAGAGCCACATCCAGCCTGGCCTTGAATGCCTGCAGGGATGGGGCATCCACAACCTCCTTGGGCAACCTGTTCCAGTGCATCACCACCCTCTGTGTGAAAAACTTCCTCCTAATATCCAACCTGAACCTCCCCTGTCTCAGTTTAAAACCATTCCCCCTTGTCCTATCACTATCCACCCTCATGAACAGTCGTTCTCTCTCCTGTTTATACATTCCCTTCAAATACTGGAAGCTCACAATGAGCCCCAATCCTTCTATTCTCCAAGCTAAGCAAGCCCAAAGTCTTAAAAAAGAGTCCCTAAATGGGATTATTCAGGTCACGGGAGTGTGTACAAAGTATAGAGGGTTGTATGTTCGTGTGCATTAATCCATCCTTTGTAGTAAGGGGAAAAACTGCCATACATGCAGCTGTTTTTCTAGGAAAGAACACTTCCACGATTGCTTCATGATTGCTTTAAGTGGATAACAGTGACACACAGTGGCTACTCTGGAGCTCTGTGAAATACAAACACTCTGTAAAGTGATTTCTCAATTGAAAGAGGTGGGAAGATCTCCGTGCTAGAGAATGGAGCCATGAATATTGTTTGTCTTTACATGAGTTCTCACAACGGACTTCCTGCATCTCTGACCTATCACAGAATCATAGAATGGGCTGGGTTGAAAAGGACCACAATGCTCATCCAGTTCCAACCCCACTGCTATGTGCACGGTCACCAACCACCAGACCAGGCTGCTCAGAGCCACATCCAACCTGGCCTTGAATGCCTGCAGGGATGGGGCATCCACAACCTCCTTGGGCAACCTGTTCCAGTGCATCACCACCCTTGAGTGAAAAACTTCCTCCTAATATCCAGCCTAAACCTCCCCTGTCTCAGTTTAAAATACCTCTTGTACATGTTCAGGCGTTCAAAATAGGATGTTATTTCAGCCAGGACAGGTTACACACCAACTTCTGCATTGATGGCAATCTCATCTCTAAATGTAGCTCAGATTTTCAGGGATTAAGGTTGCTAGTTTATTCTTCAGTTTCTAGTTTGGCAGCAAAATAAGCTTGTAATGCTGCAACTTAGGCAGTAAGTATTCTCTATTAATAAGTGTCAGTAATTGTCGCCTATTTGGAAGTGAGATGAACATCTAGGACCATTTTCTAGGACATAAGTCTACTCTGAAGCAGGGTTACTTAGCCTTTTGTTTTCTTTTAAGTCTTCCGCATGAAAATTATTAAACTGACTTGAAACTTTCTCTGAAACATTGAAATTAATGAACAAACTTTTCATACAATTCTGATTTCAAAGAACTTGATTTTAAAAATGCCTGGTTTTCTTAGTAAGGATGAAGTCGAGTGAACTTGAAACATTTCATATTTATTTTTAGTTAACAGCTAGAGGATATTTACATTTTTTTGTTCTTTCTGTGTCATTGAACAGACTGTATTCTGTACTGCATACAGAAATGTAATTTGTGTTCATTGAGTAACATCAGTGACTTCTTACTCTGGTGTAGCACTCAACAATTAATGTTAAATGTTTTTTTCTAGGATTTAATGACTTTTGAACATCAGTGGACCAACTTTTTTGCTAATTTTGACACTGAAATTCCCTTCATTCTGGAACTATCAGAATCTCAGGCAGGGGAGGTATGCCTACTTCAGTTACTCTTTGAAATACTGGTGCCATTTATCCAGAGGTATGAATAAGCATTCCAAGTTGTTGCTATATTTTCCCTGCCTACCCCATCTCACCTTTTATGTTTGAGGAATCAAAACCTATAGTTTAAGTTCACCACCCATCTTATCTATAAGTGGCACGGGACTGCATGATGTAATTGAGAGTGGAGTGCTCACTGATAGTTCAGCTTAGTTGCCTTAGATTTGCACAGCACATCTCTGTTTGTAGGTGGATCAAATATCATTTAAATGGGAGCTCCTCTTTGTGCACTAACAAGTTGAATCTCTGGCATATCTGGTTATAACGTAGAATATGGATAAAAATAATGCAGTGCATTTGCTTCTTGCTTTTTGGTAGTGGCTGCTTTTTTTTTTTTTTAAAGCTTATGTAAGACTTAATGGTGTCTAGGTTTGTTTACGGAGAAGGGAAGTAGTTTTTGAAGGTTGAGAATCTTTTCATAGAAGAAAATTCTGGTTGGCTCTTGATAATAGTGAGGATAAATCACATTCTATATCATTTGGTCTTTAATCAGAATGTCTTTTTTTCTTTTTCACAGCCTTTCAGAAGTTATTTCAGTCACGGAATGATTTCAAGCCATATAACAGATAACAGGTATTAGTCATTATTCCTTGTGAAATTGTGGTGTCGTGAGTTCCTTGGTGGTTGTTTCCATGTTTCTGATGCCATAAGAATGCTTGCAATTCCCTTCAGGTCTGTTCTGATATTACATCTTGTCTTTGCATGTATGCAGAGGCATTTTTACAAGGGATACCTCAGATTTTCTTGGGTTTTAATTCTGTAGATATTACATGGAGAATGTCACTATAAGATCAAGCCTTCTTTCTAATATGACCAATTTCTTCATGGTCACATATCAAAATAAACTCAAGAACTTGTTTGAAAATTTGGATCTTCTGTTTTATGATACAAACAGCTAAAATATGAAGGTTGAAGAAGTCAGTGTACTACTGCATGTCACAACACACAAAACCAGTGTTTAAAACAAGACAGTTTAAAAACTCAATCTTGGCCTATGTAAGTGGTGGAATTTAGGTCATCTTAAGTTTGTTTCGGCCCAGAATCCTCATCAGAGAGAGGAGGGAGGTTTGTGTTGCAAAAGCAAGCATTCTGCTGTTTTGAGCTAAATAAAGGTTGCTTAGCTCCTCAGCGTCTGTGCAGATTCTTCTTTATTTGGAATTCCATGACATTGAACTAACCCCACTGTTGATTGTTTTCAGAATTGTGTGTTGTTATTCATTTAAATAATGAAAAGCCTTGATCTCAGCTGCTGAGTCATGGGCCCCGAGCCAGAAACTGAAACCAAACTGTGTTTGTTGAATTCTACTGTACTTATTTCAGGGTTTTGAGGTATGCTGTTGTGTACCAAATAAATTAGTCTTATTAATTCGAGTCCTTTTTCCTTTGGAACTTGGTCTTTTCAATGGGAAGATTTATGACTTTCATCTGTGTAGCTGTATTAAGTTGTTTGTCCTACTCTAAGCATGAGAAATCGAGCAGTTTGTCCATCATACTTGAAAGCTTTGATTTCATTTGTTGCTTCTAGTTTTCCTCCAGTACCTGGGTAGTAATAGCTTCTTTTTCTCAGCCCCAGCCGGCAGCCTTTCGTTCTGTTTGGTAGCCACTCAACAAAAGAAAACTTGAACTCTGGTAACTTCAATTTTCCATCAGAAGGACACCTTGTTCGAAACACTGGCCTTGGTGGGAGCACGGCTAAACACATGGTGAGGTTTTTCAGTAATTATCCAGCACTTTAAGGGAGGTGTATGTTGTTGCCTTTATACATTTCTATGCCTTTAAACTCTTCTTTTCCATTAAAGACCTATCCTTCATATAGAAGAACATACGTTACCTTAATGCTGGAACAGGCTGCCCAGAGAGGTTGTGGATGCCCCATCCCTGGAGGTGTTCAAGGCAGGTTGGATGGGGCTCTGGGCAGCCTGGGCTGGTATTAAATGTGGAGGTTGGTGGCCCTGCATGTGGCAGGGGGATTGGAGCTTGGTGATCCTTGAGGTCCCTTCCAACCCAACCCATTCTATGATTCTTAACAATCAGATGCTTTTTTTTCCCTCTTTCCAATTCAGAATACACTGGCTGTTTAATCATGGACTCCTGAAAGCAGTCCTTTAAAGGCTACTTTTTATTTCTTTTAAACTTGTGGCTCTGTAGATGTGCGGGTGAGGGAGAGGAAATTATAGCTGACACTCATCCTAGAAGTAAAATCTTTGTCATAGTAGCATATGCTGTAGTTGACTCTGACACACGGAGTTTAATTGAATCTCAATTATGTAGCTGTTTCTTAAAAGAAACAGCAAGTTGTTTGGGGCTTTTTCTTTTATAATGGCTTTGTAAGTACACAAGAATACGTATGTATATCCAAACTCCAGTGTATGCTTCAGGAGCTGAACAGTTCATAACTTTGAAAATCTTTCTGGTGTTCGACAAATGTTAAGATTAAGCTGTAAGATTAACTTGTTTCCATTTTCAAGTAAAAGCTTAGTTATAAAACATATGATGAGGTCGATGGCTTGTTGCACTACTGCGCAGGGGACGTAACTGGGGAAGCGGCCCCAGGGAATTCAGATCCTTTGCCTGGCTGGGCTGGGTGCATCAAGAAGGTAACTCACAGCGAATGAGGAGAGGTAGCGTGCAGCTTGCGTTGTGTAGTTCTCCCTGCTGGCTCATCTCTGTGCCTCTGGGAGTGTCCGTCAGTTGTGCGAGTCCAGAGTTTGTGCTGTTGAGGAGATGGATGTGGTTGAGTACAGGTCACGTGGAGTGAACGTATGATTGAGGGATTGATGTTATGATCTTGTCATGACATTTCACACATAGCTGCCTGATGGATGGATGAATATGGGCACTCCTGACGCTTCTTATGTGTCAGGAGCCTGAGAAAGAGTTGTGTTAGCATTCCAGTGAAATCTCATTCACCATTTGCTGCCGTGACTTTATTTCTTTGAAGACACCTCCAATTTTGTTTTTTCTCCCCATGTTAATGTTCCAGTTGAGTCCATGTGTGATCTCTCATAATGCAAGTACAATTTTTTTATGATGCAGTACCTGCTCCATCTCTTGTCTTGCGATTCTGACGTTGTTCTTAAAAAGATGGTTTATTTACAGGTACAGGTGAAACTGTTTTAATAGGGTATCATGAAAATAGTAAATAAAGCCAAATGCAAGCATAGTTATCGGAACCTGACACCCTTCCCTTTTCATGAGAAGAGCAGTTGGCATAGGAAGCTGAAAACACATTCTTAACACTTATGGAAGTCAGAGCTCATCTCCTTTCCAAAGCCTTTGAGTCGTTCAGGTCAAGTCAAAAATGAAATAGACCTTTGAAAACGTAAGTAGTTCTTTTTAAACCAGCACAGTCTGTGTTGTATGCTTCCTGTAGTATATCAGTTATTAGAGTACTTGAGGGGATCTTAGTTTATTGTTAATCATTACACCAATTCTTTATTTCACTAAGGTCTCTCTATGTCTCATTAATACTGACCATTAGGTAGTGCAGTGTGTATCTCCAAAGGGACCTCTGGCTTGTTCAAGGACCTATTTTTTTGGAACCACTCACATTCCTTTCCTAGGTAAGTATGTTAAGCATACCAACTGGTATTCTAAGGTAGTGCTTCTCTTTGATTATTTAAGACTTCCAGTAATTAAAAGTTGGCTTTGATTCCTTTTAGAGTGTTAGTATGCAGTCTTTGTTCAGTGGTTGATTATGTGGGTTTTTCACAGAGAGCAAAAATGAAGGGACAAACCAAGGATTTTTGGAAGAATAGAAAATTCTTTGAGTCATTTTTCACTCATCTTTCTATGGTTGAATACGGTGTTGTAATATTAATCTTCCCTAATAAAAACAAGCCAAATGAAAACAATTTAAATTGGCTTAGGGTCTATAGAGGGATCTGTAGGTAAATTCAGTCTCCTTGTATACATCTTCAAATTGTATCCAGCTCAGGAAGTGTTAGAAGGTTGTCAGAGGCACTAAAGACCAAAAGAACTGGTCTTTTGGTACTAGCATGTGTATGCAGTAGTCATGCTTTTTCCTGGGTGTCCTTTGGGACAAGGACAGAGCATGAGAGTCATCTTTGTTCTGACCCAGTGGAGCTGTGCTGGGGGTGTGGGTCTTAATTTCTGCCATTGTATGTACAGGCTCTATTGACATGAGTTCATCTATGCTTTGATCTACAAATATAAAATGTTGGATAATTACACAAAATATATAAAGCAGAACTATATATGTCCAAGAGGTTCTGTGTAAATGCCTTCCAAAAGTGCTCAGAATAAACTTTTTTTTTTCTTTACAGGAAACGACAATGAGGTACACAAGAAACCTGAACAAGTGTAAGCTCCAATTTTATTCTTTAACTCCTTTGCTCTTCCAGCTTTGTTGCAGTAGGTCAAACCCCTTTTAGTCAGCAGTGGCTATAGGCATTTTCAAAGCTACTTTTTAAATCTAGTCTAGTGTGAATGTGAGAAGATTGCTAAGGATGCTGATGAGCAAAATGGGAATTGTTACATGGTGTGACATTCCGTCAGCTCTACAGTGAAATGTTAAAGACAGTGTTAGCAAAGTTCACTTCATTTGAATTACTTCAAAATGCACCTTAAACTGAGGGTGAAAGTATCTAGAACTGGGAGTAGGTTTCATAGAAGTAAGAGTAATTCTTAAACTAGTTTCATCAAGCTGAGGTTTGTATTTCTTAGTGAAAATTTCAACATGAAATACCTCTAGATGGAAACTGTCCCCTCACCAGTGCTACATCATAGAGGAGAAGGCTTCCCTCCCTCGGGTTTGGCTATTGCCACCCAGGATGCTGTTAGTATTTTTAGTAGCAAGGGCACAATGCTGGCTTATCTTTGACTTGGTGCCCACCAGAACCCACAGATCCTTTCCTGCTGGGCTGCTTCCCAGCTGGGTGCCTCCAGTACATGCTGGTACCTGGATCTGTTCCTCCTCAGTGGCAGGGCTCTGCATTTCTCCCTCTTGAACTTCTTTGAGGTTCTTGTCAGCCCATTCCTACAGCCTGTCAAGGTCCCTCTGGATGGCAGCAACACCCAATATATGCCACTCTTTGTTTTGTGTCCTTTACAAACATGTTGATTGGAAAGTAAAGTAAACTTCTGGTTTTTGTATTTCATTATTTATTTATTTTTAGTAAGCTACAAAGCTTTCAGAGACTTTGACCTTTAGAAACTAACATGATTTATCCACACTGATTCCTGCTTTTCTTCCATAGAAGATAGTAGATAATCTACTCTGGGACTGCTGACAGTCCTAGCAAACCAGGTCTTGCCATAGAAACTTTATCCTCTTTACTAATTAGAATATTTTCAGGAACCTGGTTTTAGCAAGAAAGAAAAGATGTGCTGGGGGGAGCTAGCACATATTTTTGCCTCTGATATTACAATTTTAAAATGGGCAGAAGATTAGGAGATCTACAGCATGTTAGTTTGAATTGCAGCCCCTTGTGAGATGATTTCTTGGGACTATTCTGAGGTTAGTACCTGTAAGAGGGATTGTTTGAATTGGCCACTGTCTGTCTGGGCAGGTTTTGGTGCGTTTTGAAGTTTCTTCATATTGGACCATGCCTGGAAGCTTCAGATGCTTTCTTCCCATCCTTCAGAAGTGCTTTGCATAGGCTTATATGCTGTATTGTTTTCTTTCTTTTCCCCCTCCGTCCTTCCCTCACAATGCAGCAGTTGCAGAAGAGTACAAGTTTAGAGAAGCAGGGATGTGTTGTTGACTTCTACGTCTTTCTTTTCCAACTTGGTTCCAAGACAAAAGGCTGATGCTTTTCCAGCTCAGCTGCAAGACAAGAGGCCAATGCTTTTTAGTTGGGCACAGATTTTTGTTTTCATTAGCTCTGTAGCTATGAACACGTCAGGAATTGTAAATCACTTCTGGCCTCACATAATCTTTGTTTACTTCAGTGTAGTATCCAAAGAGAATTGGCCTAAGCCTGCTGTAGATGCTCTCGAAAGGTGGTGACTGGCTCATTGTAGATTTATCTTTTGACGTTCTCCAGAAGGAGACAGTCTCCAAAGTTGGTTCCATGTTGTTTACCAGTCTGGTTTTTGCAGAGCATGGGGCTACCATTCTATTTTGTTTGAATATTTATGGCATGATCTTCAACACAATCCCAATGGAAGACAGCAATAAGACATCTTTTTCCCTTGACTGATGAGAGCAGGGCTACTTTTCTGTCATGAGTTTTTTGTTAGGATATTCTACAGTTTGAGGAACACCAGGTTTTGCTTTTTTTTTTAAACTGAGATATTTAGCACAAGCTACCTCTATAGTCATTTGAATGAGGACTGTTTCCACATGAGGGAGTTCTGTGTTAAGAGGAATTGGAGAATCATGAAATTGTATGAGTTGGAAGGGACCTCTAGAAGTCAGCTGGTCCAACTCCCCTGCAGTGAAGAGGAGCACCCACAGCTCCATCAGGTGCTCAGAGCCCTGCCCAGCCTGACCTTGAGTGTCTCCAGGGATGGGACGTCTGCCACCTCTCTAGATAACCTGTGCCAGTGCCTCACTGCCCTTTTTGGAAGTAACTTTTTCTTTATATCCAGTCTGAACCTTCCCTTTTCTTGTTTGAAACCATTTCCCCATGTCCTATCACAACAGACCTTGCTAAAGAGCCTTCCTCCTTCTTTCTTACACTCCCCCTGTTCTGAAAGACTGCTAACAATATATAAAAAATGTTCCTTTTGAACAGTGGAAGAAACCAAATTCTATCCATCTAGTAAATGCTGTGTTTGTATTTCTCTTCAGTATGCTGTTGTCGCAAATATATACTGCTGTTGTAGAGGCTGTGCTTGCTGGCATTGAGTGCTATGCTAAAACTTCCACTGAATCCAAGGTAAATGAAGCACTGATTCTGTACGTTGTCATTGTTGATTTGGATTACTTGCAATGTGAGATTACATGCAAACACCTCCCCATCTCACCCCCCCCAGAACCCAAAATATTTCACAAAATATTTCAGTCAACTGCATAACATAAATAAGATTAATACTGTGGCTTCCAGCCGGGCTTTCTGTTAGAGAAACTTCAGAGTATCTTACTATGTAACAGTTCTTTCATCTTCCATGAGTTTCCCTTACTTTACAGTAAGAAAAATGGGAGATGTGAACAAATTTTCTTGGGTGCCTCGGTGTATTATTGCTTACTGTGTGGTCTCTGTCTATTTAGAGGTGCTCTTGCAATTGCTCGAATGTTGAAGCACAGGAAAAGATGTTTTATTCCCAATTTCCTTTTTTCAGGCCAAGGAGGCAGCAGAGCAGATGCTGATGTCTGTGTTGGACAGCCTGCATTTAACACAAATGAAAACTGCACTACGGTAAGGATTTTCAAATGCTTGGTGATCTACAAATTGTGTGAGTGTGTTAGCTTTTTTTTTTTTTTTTGGGGGGGGGTTGGAGAAGACAAAATGTTAATTTAATTTGCACAATTGGTGAATTTTGAGACTTTATAATGCGTTCAAAACCTTTTACAGTCATGATAAATGCTTTGTTTCTCTTTTCCTGTTTATTCAATCACTCCAACAATTATTAATCTGTTACTGCTTTTTGTTCTACAGCTCCAAAGTTGCTTTTCAAATTCAGGCTGTGAATAACCATGGAAGGTTTGTATCACTTCTTGTTGTTAATGAGTGCTTCAATAGATTAAGTTTGTGGTTTTTGTTTAATCCAGTGAGTTTACTGCTCTTTTCTGGAGACTGAGAAACCATTGCAGTTGATTATTTTGTACCAGATGCCCCAATTGCTTTTTTGTTGGAGTCAGTTTAATGCATTTATATCTCCAGTCCCATCAAATCTTAGAAACGGCTTAAAAAAAATTCAACAAGTGAGCAGAATATTTTTATTAACTCCATTAATCAGTAGAAGCAGCACAAACCCATCATGAGTTTCCATTTAAAACAGTGCTTTTAGCTTGTTTTAACATTACAAGGTTGTGCTTTTTGATCCCTATATTGTCTAATTAACCAAAATGGCCTACACAAATAAGAACATATGTTAAGATGAAACAGCTTTTCTGACTGTTATAAAGTCATTCAAAACCATCAGTCATTAAATATTTAATTATCCTTTTTGTTCTAGAGTTACTCCATTAAATAACGAGGATAGCCTGAGTTTGATTAAAACAGTAAGTAAGCAGTTCAATATTTGCCTTGTATATTTCTATTAGAAAACAGAGCTTGAGTGGCTCTTTGGGTGGAAATAATGTAAGGGGAGAGATAATTTCAGATGCTGAACCTGAGATAAGATGAATTTCGAATGTGAAGTCAGACAGTGGACTTTGAAGTAAAGCATTAATGTATAGTTAAAATCTCAGTTTTTCCACTTTAAAATAGAAGCATTGTGTTGAAGGAAGTAAAAAAATACACAGGATCTGCTGCTTTCCTTGAAATACTTCAAATTCTGCTTTCTCTTCCTTTCCTGTCCAACTGTTTGATTGCTGCAGGCGTCTATGATGGTGTTTGACATTCCAGATTTACTCACAGGAAGAGGGTGCTTGGGATCTGTTGTCTTTTCAGAGTCATTCCTAACATCACAGATACACGTAAAAGAAAAAGGTAACTAATTTCAATTCTAATGCTGGACATTGTCATACTCTGAACTTTTTTGCTGAGGAATAGCAAAAGGGCTTCTGATGGGTGTTATTGCTATTACGTTTTTAAGCCTTTATGTTGATTCAAAGATAATGAATGTTTTAGCTTGCAGTAATGAGTATCTTTTGTCAAGACAGTTTCTCTGAGCTCACTGAAAGGGCTTTGATTTTGTAGCTGCCTTGTCCTATGACTGGGCTGGGGTGTCAGAATTCAAGTGTGGTGGTAATCTTCCCAAATTTCCTTCAGTTTTAGTGAATGTTTGTTATTGTAGCTCACTTTCATCACTCTGTTACACTCTTATACAATATGCTTTAATTTCAGTTGTTGTTTTTTGCTTGAAAGTTAAAATGAAACGAAATTATATAGAATGGCCTAGGTTGAAAAGGAACACAATGCTCATTCAGTTCCAACCCCCTGCTATGTGCAGGGTCACCAACCAGCAGACCAGGCTGCCCAGAGCCACATCCAGCCTGGCCTTGAATGCCTGCAGGGATGGGGCATCCACAGCCTCCTTGGGCAACCTGTTCCAGTGCCTCACCACCCTGTGCATGCAAAACTTCCTCCTGATATCTAACCTAAACCTCTCCTGTCTCATTTTAAAACCATTCCCCCTTGTCCTATCACAATCCACCCTTGTGAACAGTCGTACCCCCTCACTTGGTTATGGAATAATCTTAGATTTAAAATACAGAGTATTGAGTGATAGCTTTACCAAGTGCATGTTTCTCAGACTGTTTACCCGTGTCAGAGAAGCATTGTTGTTAAGATTGCCTGGATAATATCTATGAATTCTTGTATCCAGACATGCTGTGAGGTTTTTAACTGTGTGAGATGGGATGTTTTTGGTAGAGAAGAGAGCAGAGGAGGAACCATATCGTGTTGAAAAACGACTATTATGAATATATTGGTTAAAACTTAGTAGTCCATTTTCAAATAGAAGTCTTCAGCTGCAGTTTGGGATAGGTTGCAGGCAGGGATTGAGAAAGGAAATCTGTATCTCAGGCCGTACTGTGAGCTAAAAAGGGTAGCAAATAGCCAAAAAGCTGGATTTGGTAAGAGGTGCACCAGGGTTCCTTTTGGTTTTGTATAGTGGTTCTGGTTATGTTACAACAAGGAAGACTGAGAGCTGCTCCACTGGGAAAACTTCATTTACAAAATGAGTCTTAATGAGGCAACTTGTATTTTACAGAGAAATTTCCAGTCATTAACATTAAACAGTCTGAAGTATATAGATAGTGTATACTACTTTGCTTTCCATTTACTTCCCTGCAGATGGCAGTATTAATTCAGAAACCAGCCACATAATTCTGACTGCAGCTATCCCACGATACGCATCTTGGCTGGTTAGTATGCAAAAACTTGTTCCAATTTTTGTCTGTTTATACAAATTGACAACTGAAAACTTGTTTTAAATGTATGGATGCATGGAAGAAAAAGTATAGAACCCATGCATTGAAACAGAATTCTGTGATGCTATGGTTTTTATGTTTGGACAAGGAGCGTGTAACTTGTAAGTGGAAACAAGCTGTTGTTTCCATTCATTACAAGTTTAGATCCTTTTCTTTTCATCACTGCTTCAATTTTGAGCTGTGTGAAGGCAAGAATGTGTAACTTAAGAGAAATCTGTTTATTGTGGGGGCATTTAAGATCAATTCAGTGTCTGCCTCAACCTCAAGGTCTGTTTCTTGACCTGTTCTGTTAGAGATTTATTTCCTCTGACATTATGAATATTCACAAGATGGTTGACATGATCCTACTTCTGAACCACTTTAATAATAGTGTGTTTAAAAAGACTGAATAGGATGCACTCATCTGCCTATGCAACTCAATTTTAATCTGTGTGGAAGAATTTAATGGGGAATATATTTCAAAGAGCTGTTTCAGCCCTATTGGTATCGAAAAACACAGGGCTGTCTTTGAAGCAGCCTGATCTCTGGACTTTTAACTGTGATTCTTGTTTTCCCTGAACCTTCTTTTAATGCTTTTTTTTTTTTAATTAACCTTGTTTTATCTACTAACTGTGCACATGGGAATGTTTTCTGGCTACAGGTTGAAGATAGTGATGTGAAACTGTCTGAAAAGGCACAGCTAATACTGAAGGTAAAATTAAACATTTTGTTAATGAGATTACTTTTCTCAAGAACTAATGTTCTAGACATTTTGACTGCTAGTAAAATTGGCATTGAGCATGCTGCTTCTTCCTCTTCTGTGTCAGAGTTGTCTGTTGTACCTTGTGTTTTTCAAACCTTGACCTACAAAAGAAGTAAATATATTGTATGTAAGAGTTGGTGGTTTTCTTTCATTGAAAGAATGACAAAACCCAAGAGCACGAAGCTTTAAAAAGGCTGAGATTGCATGGAAGTCTCGCTAGCTATTACCCATGAGCTTCATATGTTCCAAAAAGAAAAAAAAAGACGACAAAACCAAACCTCAGTGCTGCTCTACATGCAACTTCCTTATAACTTAATTAGGATGCTAAAATGTCTAAAGGAAAACACTTAAGCAGTATGAAAAATAAAAGAATTTGGGATCTGGGAACATCTTAAACCACACAAGTTTCACATTTCTGGTTTAATTTGCGGTTTTCAAGAATCTTCATTACAAATAGATTTATTTTCCTGTAGTGTATACTTGAAGTTCAGTAGATTGACAATCTAAAAACCAAAAGCTGTGCCTTGCGGTTGTGACAATAACTTGCAACTTAATAGCTGTTGGCAAAACCACATGGCCCCAGGAAGTTCTTTCTTTTTAGAAATTATGCTCTTGACGTGCTGTGTCCTTCACTACTTCTGCATCAGTGCAGTTTCAAACTCTTGAAAAGTTCTGACAGCTGCTGTTTAAGAATTCTTCAAGTAAAACCATAAGAAAGTATTTCTATCTGAATTATACTCCACGATGTGGTCTGTGATACTACTGTTTGTTTTTCCTGTTTAGGAAGACAAATCCTTTCTGGGCACTTTACTTACTGGAGATGATGGAGCTTATATTTATTCTAGCAACCCACAGGCCATGCCTGCAGAAGGTGAGTGTGGTTTTACTTGCATGCAGCATCAGTCCAGTTGGGGTGTTTTTAAGTATGAGAGATACACACGTGTTGGCATTCACAAATCTGGTGTCTGTACTGTAGAAGCATAGAATAGCTTGGGTTGGAAAGGACCTCAAGTATCATCAAGCTCCAACCCCCCTACCACAGGCATGGCCACCAACCTCCACGTTTAATACAAGGCCAGGCTGCCCAGGGCCTCATCCAGCTTGGCCTTGAACAGGCTGTGCCTTCTCCTTTAAGAACTCAAGTAGCACAAATATCCCAATAATATGACTAAAGACAACTCTGAAGAACTGTTAGCTGGATTTGCCCTCACTTCACATTCATTGCATTAATGTCCCTTGCTTTGCTTTTAGAAAACTAGAGCAGAACAAATGTTTTGATTCGTGACTTTTTTTATTAGGGCATAGCACTTCATGTTCCTTTGTCCAGAGAAGGTACTGCTGTCACAATGGAGTTGTACAGCAGTTCAGTACAATGACTACTGTTTGAAAGCTAAGTGCTTAGTATAAGCTGATAGTCTTTGAGAAAAAATACTCAGCTTTTCTCACTTTCACTTTTGTAGCTACAGAAGGAGAGGACTGAGGATAAATGACACGCAAGGCAATTAAACAGCAGCTTTCACGTGGTGGAATTTATTTTCACTCTAAGGATTTTAAGGGAAAGGTTAATGTAAAATAACATACTTAGCAATTTTGCAGCACACTGCTGGCTGTGCAGGCTCACTCAGTAAAACCAGAATGGTGAATGTTTCCTTTTTGCTATATAAAAACTTGCTGTCTGCCCCATTCGAGCTGTATACTTTTTCCCTGTTTTGGTACATTTAACTTAAATGTTTCTGTAACTCTTGGGTTGGAGGGTTATAAGTAGGTGATAGAAAGACTGCTCTGTAACACTTCAACAAGTGAGATATTTCCTTAGGTGTCAAGTGAAAATCAACTTGATGCCATTCCCTTTCATGTGCAGTGCAGTTTGCTGTGCTCCAATTGGAGCTCTGCTGGGGTTGCAGCCATGTAGATAGTCAAGGTTAGGTGGAAAAAGGTGCTGGCACTGGCACACATCTCTCTATCATTTGTGCCTTGCTATAATAAGCTTTACATCATGATGAAAAGTCCTGTAAAAAAAAAAAAAAAATGTAGGCTGTTAACCCTTTTCTTTGGCATGTTAATATGTCTGTGCTGTGTTTTTGTAGGATGAGTCAATCACTCTTACCAATTAAGCTGTCGCTTCTGAGATTGATGACTCATGAAAAATACATATATAGCACATCAAGTTGTTCTTTTGACTGTCTGTAGTGTTAGAAGAGGCCATTTTGGTTTCGATTAATTACTGTTCTTCTTGGCTTCCTTTTCTAAAACAGGAAAATTCTTCTATCAAAGAACTAAATCTGGTTTCTCTGCCTGTTTTCCTCACTGACACATTCTGTGACGTTCTGTGGGATCTGATAACAACACTATCCCAAGTGCTGGATTTTGCCATTCTTCCTCTCCAAATCAGTTTCATTAGATACAGCTTTCTGGTGTCTTGAACAGCGTGGTGGATTTGTTGACACCTAAGCTTTGTCTCCATTTTACTTGCTCTGAATTCACATCTTGAATTTGTGTTGCTAGTATTGCCCTACTTAGAATAGCAGTGTGTTATATAATAGTCATCTTTCCTATGCAGCTTTAGTGTTAACTGAAAGCTTCACTCTACAACAGCTGTGTTCACAGCTCATAGACTCAGCTTTTTAGCTGCCTGATAGAATCACTCCTTAAACATTGTGACTTGAGTCATATCAAGCTCTTCTCAGTGTTATGGCTTAATAAAAAAAAAAAAAGAACAGTTTTGAAGATCTCACTCTGAGTTACCATTTCAAAAGAAAAATGGTCTTATTCTTCATTGTTTCTCCCAAATGTTCTTTGATAGATTGAGCTGGGTTTGCAGTCATTTGTAACTGTATCTTGTAGCTGTTCTGCTGCTCAGCTTTGCTTTTTCTTAGAGCATAGCTCTGAGCAGTGCTGCTCTATCAAATAAGATAACCTTTTCACTGTGTGTTTCCCTTTATGGAATGTGATCCTGCTTTCAATGCACAGCGTAGCACTGGTAGCAGAGGTCCAGTGAGCAGCTCCAATTTATGGCTTCCCTATGCCAACCAGAAATTAGCTCTTTGCTGTATCAGTTTCTAGGGCTTTGATGGAGCTAGCTTTTTATCCATAACACTGCTGAGCCTTGCTGCTGCTTGTCCTTCCAGCTGGTTCCTCCTGCTAGCAACCAGTCTGTTCTCAGCCTTGCAGAGAAGAACCTGGGGGTCCTGATGGATGAAAAGCTTAACGTGAGCCAGCAGTGTGCTCTTGCAGCTCAGAAAGCAAATGGTATCCTGGGCTCCATCAGAAGAGGGGTGGCCAGCAGGAACAGGGAGGTGATTGTTCCCCTCTACTCTGCCCTCGTGAGGCCCAATCTGCAGTGCTGCATCCAGGTCTGGAGTCCTCAGTACAAGAAAGACAGGGAGCTGTTGGAGAGGAGAGCCACAAAGATGATCAGGGGACTGGAGCACATACCTATGAAGACAGGCTGAGGGAGCTGGGCTTGTTCAGCCTGGAGAAAAGAAGACTGTGGGGTGACCTCATTGCAGCCTTCAGTACCTAAAGGGAGGCTACAAACAGGAGGGGAATCAACTCTTTGAAAGGGTAGATAACAGCAGGACAAGGGGAAATGGTTTGAAGTTGGGGGAGGGAAGATTGAGGTTGGATGTCAGGGGGAAGTTCTTTGCAGAGAGGTGCTGGAACAGCTGCCCAGAGAGGCTGTGGATGCCCCGTCCATCCCTGGAGGTCTTCAAGGCCATGTTGGATGGGGCCCTGGGCAGCCTGGGCTGGTGTGAAATGTGGTGGTTGGTGGCTCTGCATGTGGCAGGGGGGTTGGAGCTTCATGATCCTTGAGGTCCCTTCCAATCCTGGTCATTCTGTGATTCTGTAAGAAATCATGAAAGAGGGAGATAAATGAATTCTGTGTCTCCTCTTTGCTATAGCATGCATTTGCATGCAGGAAAATTGCTGCTGCAGAAGTTGTCACAGACCTCCAGCATAATAAATATTAGGAAGGGGTCCTCTGGTCCAACAACTGCTCAAACAGGGCAACCCAGGGTGAGATGCTGGGGGCCCATTGAGGAAAATGGTAACTTGTCAGAAGTGGGATTCGAACCCACGCCTCCAGGGGAGACTGCGACCTGAACGCAGCGCCTTAGACCGCTCGGCCATCCTGACGGTGCTGTTGTGTATCTGAGGCAGTGATAAAGTGTTTATGGCAACTTGTGCACAGCATCTGTTGTGTTCAGAGTGGGTGTGAAATGGGTGTTGGTGTATGTGAAAGAAAAAAGAGAAGTCTGCAGACAGAGGACTCCTCTTAATGAAGAAGTAAAGGGAAACCATCGCCTCAAATGTCTGGTTTTTTTAATGTCTGCATGATGGTTGTTATCATTTTGTCACTTTGCTGAATGCCTGCAAATCTTTCTGATTTTATGATTTTCATGATCAGTGAGCTTCAAGAGGTAAGACTGAAGCAAGTGCAAACATAAACATAGCCATGATTGCTTCTTTCTTTAGTGAAACCCAGTGAGCAACAGATAACCGTGCTGAGAGCTGCCTAAAAACTACTGCAGAATTTTACTGAGGTATTTTCCACAGAAAGTATGATAAGATCCTGCAAGAACAGAAATTGTTCCTCAGAAAGAAGAGGCATTCTTCACACAATGCTGAAATACTGATACATCTCTAAACTACTTTTTTTTTTTTTTCTTTCAAATTGCAGGCAAATTGTACTTCTTCTCAGATGGCATTCTATTCTGTGATCCCCACCATGGCAGCATTTCCATTTCAAAGGACCATATCGATTCCATTTCTCTGTATGATGGGGTGAGTGGTTTTGTTTGTTCCTTCTATCGTAAACTTTTAAATCAAATTTTAGCCTTGCTTCTGGGGTACTGATGTAAAGTGTTCAACGTCAGTTGCGTTTTTATGAGTGTGTATAAAACTAGTAAGTGATGCAAACATATCCCCAGGCTGGATGTGGCTCTGGGCAGCTTGGTCTGGTGATTGGCAGCCCTGCATATAGCAGGGGGGTTGAAACTAGATGATCATCGTGGTCCTTTTCAACCCAGGCCACTCTATGATTCTATGATATAATTTTAGCATTGGTTGGCTAAGTCAGTTATTGGTCTGTGAAGCTTTAAGGAAGACAGGTGAGTTATTAGACAATGTTTTAACTGTGTAAAATTGCTCTTTAATGAAAGAGAAAAAGCTGAATGTAGCATTCATAAAACACCTAGTGGTATTAAGTGATAGACCAAGCAGAGAGAAGCTCAAGATCCTGCGCTGTGTCAGAGGGTGAAATGCTGCATTCTGTTCAAAATATATTTAACCTTCAGCCAAACATTTGTGGCAGTGCACTCCTTATCTCCAGGGGTCACGAGAGCATCTGTCTCATGTCGTAGGGCGTTGTGTAACTGACAGGGTGCAGGGAGAGACTGCTCTGTGTTTTCCAGGCTGAGAGGTGAAACAGAACAATGTGCTGCTTGTGACTGTGCACATGCCAAGTAATGGTGCTAAAAGACACGCTGTGAGGCACAGACTTCTGCCCTTCCTATGATCAATTTATGTCTCTCCACTTAGTTTGCTAACTTGCCACCTAACAATCTGCCTTCCTGGCTTAGTGGAAATTAAGAGTTAGGTTAATGGCTGCAACTCAGCTTTTTGCTTTCCTCTTCAAGGCAGGCAGGCTGCCTTAACTATTGGTTTTCAAGGGTGGAAAAGAGATTATTTGGGTATTATTGTTTCCTAAGCACCCTCCAAAAAATCTTTGTTTCCTTTAGTTTCTGTTTTCTTCAGGTGCAGCTTTACACTTTTGTTTAATGACCTCCAGAAGGCATTGTGTAGCCTCTGTTTCATCCTATAATGGAGGAAAACAGTAAAATACAATAAAAGTGTGTTATTCAAAACGATGGAGAGAATCTTACCTTAGCTGCCTTGTCTTGTACGTCGTATTGCTTGCCCTGTGGTCGTTTAAGAAGCTATTTTAACACTGACCTTCCTTCTATTGTTTGACTCAAGACGCTCACTTTCATAAAACTTGCTATTTATGGGACCTGGCTATCATTCTTGAGCTGGTGCCAGATTTTTGTGTAAAGCTAAACCTTGACAGGGAGTATTTTATTGTTCAACTGACTTGGCGTAATGCAAGGGTGGAGAGCTTAAATGTTAAGAAGTGTCAGGAGAAGAAGGGTAATTGTTAGCATGTTTTTTCTTCAAGTTATTGATGAAAAGTAGAGGATAATTAAATGCTGGGATTCAAATAAAAGGTACAAAGAACTACAGTTTCTTAGCAGCTGTCTCACGATGCCCTGCGAGATGCTTCTCTCCCTGACTTGCAAAAGTTTGCATTTCTGCATCTAACATGTTGTAAGCTTCTCTGTTCTGGGAGTCTGAGCATCTGGCTGCCAACTACGCTTCTGGAGTCGTTGGGGATCATGGACATCCAGCACTGTTCATTGGGGATCATAGCCATCCAGCACTAGAGGACAGGGCAGATTGCTCACAGAGCTTTGCTGTGAAGGTTGAAAGCAAATAACAAATGCTGTTTCAATCTTGTGAGAGCTGAACACAATCTCTACTTTCCTGGGATGTGAAGCACCACTCTGCACTGTTCTAGCATAATACCAGCTATCCTAGGGTGTAAAAGAAAATAAAATATCCAGCAGGCTACTCTGCACCCCCCAGTCTCCAAACTTCCAGGTTTAGTTCTCTTCTGTAGACTTTCAGTGTCTCAGTAAAGTTTAGCAAGGCATCCTAATTGTATAAAGCTTAGAGACTAAACGCTTAGTTGATTTAAGACTAAGTATTGATGCTTCTAAGTACCTGAATCCAGTATTTGCTTTGGTCATTAGTCATCAAGTGAATAAATAGTATGGAGTAATAATTAGATTGGGCATTTCACATGCTGATTGCAGCGTGTGAGTTTGCCTTTCTGTTGCTCTTCATGACATCTTTGTTACCCTGTAGAATTCAGATCTAGGTCTGTGGGCCCAAAAGCTAAAAGCTTTTTCTCTTAAGAGAAATTATTCTCCTAGAATGCCTTTTTATTGTTGTTCAGAAACCTCAGTGTCTTCAGGAGGTGACTTAGAATTTAATCCACGAGTCAGCAGAGGGTGTAATCAATCCCTGAGTCAGCAAAGGCTAGAGGTCCTGTTTGCAGATGTCACTGAATTGATACCAATTCTTGTGTAAATGTTCCCCAATTTGAGCCTTCCTTTCAAATCAGTAATGAGAGTTTTTTCAGCTCAGAGTGGAGAGCGATATCAAACTTTGCAATGGCACCATGCCATCCTCTTGCTGTCAGATTGACGTTGCTCTTCTGGAGTGCCTGTGTCAAAGGAGATGGATGGATGGAGGCATAGAGGTGTTCAAGAAACATCTAGATGTTGAACTGAGGGACATGGCTTACTGGGGAATATTGGTCATAGGTGGACAGTTGGATTGGATGATCTTAAATATTTTCCAACCTTGGTGATATTACGACTCTATGAGATAAGGGTGGCTCTGTTGTAATGCTTCAACAGGACTAAAATTCTAGTTTTTGGGGGAAGGAATAGATATTAAAACTAAAGTGGGTTTTTTTTTTTTTTTTTGTGGATGTTTTTAAGGATTTAAAGCTTGTAGGAACAATCTCAGATGCTTTCTTTTAAAGTGTATGGTATTGCTAATAGCTGCAAGGTAGAAACTGACAAGTTCTGCAAGTGGCTGCAGGTAATTCTTGTGCTGCACACCACTCCTATGGAAGCTAAGCCATTAAGACCTTTATGAGTGCCAGCTATGACTTTAACATTTCTTTCTTGATACGTTTAACATGTTAAGCTTTTCTCTCACTTTAATAACTGTTATTTACAAATTGTCTTGTTTCTTCCTTTTCTAGGATTCGACTGGCATTGTTGCTGCTCTCTTTGTAGACTTCAAAAGCTCCTTGCTTGCTCATCTACCAATTGAATTCCATGCCCGAGACAACTTTTTGATGATTGCACTTTTTCCCAAAACCAAGATTTATAAAGCTTTTTATTCACAGGTAAAGTAAATAAAGGTCAGAAGCTTTTTTTTTTTCCCCCCACTCAAAACAATTATCCTTCATATTTGAGCACATGAGTTGAATGTGTTAACATCTGCCTTGAGTAATTACATTTACAAAGAGAAAGAGATTTGTTTCTCACATTAGAAGAGCTGCTAAAGCTTGTCATCTGGTAAGTAGATGCAGAAAACTTGAAGATATGGAATCGTTCTTCAGTTGTTTTTCACAAGCAAAACCTTTTCTCGCATCTCTATGCTCATTCACAGTTTGGAAGGAAGAAGAGGTGGTTAATACTGATGGAGCAACAGGTTAGAAAACAGACTGAAAACTTCTGTGAAAATGGATGGAGGGTATTGAAAGGGGGCTGTGATTTTAGAAACTGCTTGTTGTCTTTCATATTTCACTTTTTTCCAAGGTGTAGCAGCCTACAACTGTAGGAGGGGCTTTTGCAGAGATCTTATTCCTTAGGGGCACATAACAAGGGGAGGTAACCACAGACTGCAGCTTTGAAGGTGCAGACTGAATATTAGGACGGTGGTATTCAGCAGAGAGAGCTGCAGCAATGGAATGGGCAACCCACAGAGTAAATCTCCACCTTTTGAAGGTTTTGAAAACTTGGTTGGGCAAATCAGTGGCTAAGCTGGTCTGTCCTGCTTTCATCAGAAGGTTGGTTTGGAGACTTCCAGAGGCTCTCTCTTCTAGCCAGGAACCTGGCTTTCTGCAAGAGCTGTGGCAACTCTTCTGCAGATCTGAAATGGCTTCAGGCTGCCCTGCCCTGCAGTCCTTCCCAAGAGCTGATTGCTCCTGGTCTTAAGAATTTGCACGTCTGAGAAACTTCAACTTATGTGTGCATTTCTAGTGATTGTGCTGCTTGTTAGGGTTTAATGGTCACCATGTGCTTTCATTTTGTCTTCTGAAGTCGGTGATTGCTCTAAGGCTTGTTTTCTAGTGGTTGCATTTTAAATGTAGCACTGGTGTATAATTGGCTACAGCAATTGCATGCAGTGGCAGAGGTCCTATTGTGTTTCTTGTGGTTAGACACGTTTGGATTGTGATCCTTTGGGAAGTTTTGTTAAAGTCTTTAAGTATCCCATATGGCATTGTACTATTTTCTGAGTGAATTGGCCTCATGCATTCGAATGCAGAGGCTTTTAATAAGCAAAACTTTATAACAATAGAACTTTTGAGGAAGTGAGTCTGGAGATTTTAGGAGTTCACAGCAGTTTTAGCAGGCGGTCATAAGCCTGGACTGGAAAAGACCACCTAGATCAATGTGTGCAGTCCCCACTGGTAGCATTAATGACTCCATAAAATTTTTCCTTCTTTTATCTTAAGTGCTTTGACTTCTCCCACTATGTTTGGCTGGGGATGTTTTGTTTGGTTTTGAATTTCTAACTGATTTTTATTAGGTCTACTTTTAAACCTGGTTTTATTTAGTTTTCCCAGTGGGAATGTTTGAGCTATTCAGAGATTTCAGACCTATTCTTTCTGGCTTATTTGGCCTGATGAAATAAAACCAGATCCTTTTTAGTCTGCCGTTATTAAAATGTTCTCCTTTCCTCTAATCATTGTAATAGTTCTCTTTTGATTTGTTTTTTTGACTGTAGTCATACAAACTGTGTGCAGCATTGTAGAGAAGGGTATTTGTTTCTTGTACAGACAAAATAACAGTACTTACCAGTAGTTCAAAGTTGCCTGTAGTTTGTCTTTGCACTAGTACTTCACTGGAACAGGTTGCCCAAGGAGGTTGTGGATGCCCCATCCCTGCAGGCAGTCAAGGCCAGGCTGGATGTGGCTCTGGGCAGCCTGGTCTGCTGGTTGGTGACCCTGTGCATAGCAGGGGTTGAAACCAGGTGATCATTGTGGTCCTTTTCAACCCAGGCCATTCTATGATTCTATGATATTATCTAGAGTTAACAGTTCCTTTTTCTGAGGAACACCTTGAGGTCTCCCTCTACTGGGGCATGGTTAGTGGGCATGATGGTGATGGATTGGTGGTTGGACTTGATGATCCTTGTGGTCTTTTCCAACTGTAATGATTCAATTATTTCACTGATTATTTCATTGACACTCCAGCTGATTCTAGTAGTGCTTCTGTCTTCATTCTTGCTTTCTTTCTTACCTGCCTCATATTTTTGTCTGCTTCATTCCACTGTTATTCATTAGATAGTTGTTTTTCTATAAAGCATCACAGCGCTCCATGATGGTCATCCAACTTAGTTTCCTCACAATCCTATTGATTCACTTCAGTTCATATCAGATTCACTGCAGATGGTGTCATGGATCCTTCTCTAAGCAACCAAGTCACAGTTTTTAGGATTTATCAGTTTCTGATCTGGCATCAAGCTTTGCTCAAGTTCAAATGGATGGAACGTATCTTTTATCTAGGAGATGGTATCTCATGAATGAAGACTATTCATGAGACCAAGTGTTCCTCAGTACGTAAGCCATGTGAATCAGGTATTACATTTTGTTAGTGTCTTTCTTCAGCTGTTTATTGTTTTTCTCCAAAATCTATTCTAAAACCACATACAACTGGAGTTATGTAGACACATTTGTTGCTCGACGGGCCAGTAGCTGCAAGGATTCACTGAACTGCAGCTCGTGGTTTTACTCTTCTGCAGTCATGTGATGCCTTGTTTAACAGACTTCGTGTAAGTATGATCTAATTAATTCAAGCCCCCCTTGAAATAGAAAACAGCAGTTCCCCATCCCTTCAGGTCTCACTGCTTTACATTCCTTGTAACTGCAGTGTCGGTTGCAAGACTTTAAGCACACAGCAATGGTATTTGGTTGGAGGATCCTGCAAAGAGGCAGCAGTTTCTCTCACATCTTCACTGCAATTGATAGTTGAGGTGGCTTTGCTTAGACCTTGGAATTTAAGGATTTCTCTGGTTTTCTTTGCATTTTTCTAATACTGTAGCAGCTTTTTTCCTCTCTTTTAAGTTATGCAAAAGGGACACTTTTTGTAAACCAGTTTTCTTGGTTTCTTTTTACAAGTTCTCACCCAGTCTGACCTGCCCAATTTTCACCCAGCCCTTTGACTTCTAAAGACGACGTTTTTCTGTTTACCAGTCCTTCTTTCCATCCCTTGTAGACATCTTCCTTGGTCTCTTATACACGTTTTTTGAAGCCATTATTTCTTTGGCTGCAAGTCTCGTTCTGCAGGAGCAATTCAGTCTTTTGTTAATATCAAAACTTTTATTTTATTTTGATGTTTATCTCGGTGTTCAGTGTGCTTGGGATGCCTATTTGTTAATGGCAAGCAGTCTTCCCCCTCACACTCTGCCCAAATTGTTTTGTCTTGTAGAAGATTACTGTGAAAAATGACAATGGCTGTTGCCTTTACTTAGGAAAAGAAGGGAAATACTGAATGCTTAAACGACTGCATGATTCATCTGAATCTGATTTCTAGTTTCAGAATGCCATTCATATTAATGTGACTTGGCTAGAGCAATAGGATGTCAGCCAAAATACTGTTCCCTAGAGAAATGAGGACTTAGTAGGTTGTGAAAAAACAATTTTTCTTAAATTTCTAGAAATACGGTTGCTGCAGTCTTACCTAATGGTAATTAGAACAGTAATTAAAGGAGATGTGTATGAATTCAACTGCAGCACAGCAGGAACTGGACTATAAGTGCTTTGCATTTCTAGTAGTTAGGCATGCCAGGACTGAATGATAAATGTGAAACTGGGCTGCTTCAATCAAGTTATTCCTTAAAGTAATTCCAGTCTAGCTAAAGCTTTCAAATCTAATCTGTGGAGACCTACTCCTTGTTTTGAATACTTCCAACAAAACAGTATTGTGTGAAAGACAGTTGTAATGGCTAGCTAAAATGAATGTATCTTATAGGTGAATGAAAGCAAGTCTTAAATCAAATTTTGCAAACTAATGATTCTTACGAGTCGTCCTTTTCTATTGCAGGTTTTCTCTTCATGGCAAAACCAGACAAACTCAGGATTATCTTTAAGGGTTGTCCAGGAAGAATTCCTGTCTGTGGAACAAAAGAGACTGTAAGTTCGTGCTACGTACTCAGCTGTAATTATAGGTTAACTATGTGCTGTCATCAGAAAAATGCTGACACGGATTTTGATATTGATTCAAAAAGAAATTGCTGCATTCTTAATGCAACACTCCTTTTTTTTTTTTTTGTGCTTGTTATTAGCCATCTGGTTTAAAGAAGAAAAACTTCTAGGCTTTTCTTTCAACTAACCAATTAATTCTGTGCTTTTTTTAGACATTCCAGTGTTCAGAAGCTATTCAGTTCTTTGTCTTATCCTTCTGGGGAAAGATGCAACGAGCTGAAAATATCTGCTGCCCTCCCAGAGTTAGAGAGGTGAGAAATGATTTTTATTTCTAAGGGATTAGGTTCAAAAGGAACAGTGCAAAAATATTTTGGTACGCGTAATGCTTGTCTAGAAATTGCTTATGTACTAAGTCTGTCTTCCCACTTGATATTTTTACCCTGGGATGAATTATTTCCTCCCTGGGAAGCCTCTGTTTGACCTTTTCATGATTTTACTGGAGTAATTTCCCAGCTAGTTATACAAATGAAGTATTTTGCTCTTATCTGGAAGAACATTTCTTTTCTTTCCTGAAAGGTTCATGCAGCACTTCACTGTCAGCAGTGTCAGTCGTGAGCCAATAATGTCAGCACATCTTCCTATTTTATTGCAACAGTCAGAAACCATTCCTGACAGCAGAGCAGAAAGCGATAAGGTAAGCAGGCAGTACAGCATTGCCTCCTATCCCTAGTATTGTTTACTACATAATTGCCCAGAGAGGTTGTAGGTGCCCTGTCCATCCCTGGAGGTGTTCAAGACCAGGTTGGATGGGGCCCTGGGCAGCCTGATCTAGTATTAAATGGGGAAGTTGGTGGCCCTGCATGTGGCAGAGAGGTTGGAGCTTGGTGATCCTTGAGGGCCCTTCCAACCCAAGCCTTTCTATGATGTGTCATTCATTGCATGACTGATGTAAACCCTCTCTGCCTCCGTTCCAGTACCATCCTGAGCTTGCTTCAAATCTGTTCCTTAGAATAAATTGCCCTGTCCCATTTCCCTGTTTACATGACTTATTTTTCTTTTTCATTTAAACAATCTTTTGGAAGTGCTGATGGCCCTTCAACCTGATAAAATAGAGGCAGAAAATGAGGAGCAGATCTTCAACTGAACGTTTTTTCTCTCATGTCCAGAGATTCAGCCCCGAAGCAGTAGTTTGTTTTTATGAATTGCTGAATAATTTAACGGAATTGTTCTCTGGAACATAAGTCCTTTAAATAGCATGGAGGTAGCACATGATATTTAACATTTGCTGATATTATCTGTGGAACATTCTGTTCTCTATAGGGGCAACAACAATTGTCAAACTTACAGGGTGTTTTAAATAGGATTTCAGTAGAAATTATTTCTTTGTAACTTTCCAGCATTTGAAGTCTCCTGTCAGCAAGAAAACCAAGGCAGCAAGAATATGGCCTTTCTCTTTGAATATTGTAATATGGTGACAGCCTTATTTCCTCAGCCACCATGCTGACACTTAATTTAAGTATTAAATAATAAGGCCTTCCTTGTGGTTTTAGATCTGATTTTAAGATTGGTTTAAATGTCTTTGTGAATGGTTAAAGATTCTTTTAACATTCATAACAGTTTCTATAAAACAATCAATCTTTTCCTCTATATTTATTATATATACTCAATGCCTGTGAGCATCCAAAATAAGACAGGATGCAAATAATGTACAGGTGACTGTCTTCAGTTATAATGCGGCTAGAATCTGGAAGAGGTAATTAATCTGTTAGTAATAGGAACCATTACCAGAGTAATTTCCTTAGTCAACCTCAGCACAGCACAGAGTGGTTTTTAACCATGTTTCCAGAACTCATTTGCTTGCCCCTGGTTTAGCTCTAAACATGGTTTAGAGCTATATACGCTTTGGAGATGCACTCTGGCTCTTTCTCCGTGTTTCTCTGCTCTGATCCTTCTCTGAACACCTCAAAGAATGCACAGAATGGCAGCAGGGCTGTTTTATGCAGGAAAAACTCTTGCCATGTTGGAGCTGTTACTCTGCAGCCTCTTCCCAGTCCTCCTCAAAGCTGCACAGAGTTTTGCTTAAAACTGTCATCAGTTTTCCTTATGACACACTCAGCATTCAGTATCAGAAACCTGGTGTTTCTCTGTGTTTGACAGCAGGGCTGTTCAAAATACATCATCGCTTCCTTGGAGCTGTTTTCTCAAATACTGTTGTGTGTATTTAAATTTACCCTTTTCATCATAACCTGTTCGGTGTCTGCAGTGTTCTGTCTCAGAGTTGCATTCATTCTTACACGAGTGTAGATTTTAAGGTAAGGTTTTAATGTAATGGTTTTGATAATACTCTCTGTTGTATTTGATTATCCTTTCATTGAGTTTAAGGTATATAAACAATGATAAAACATCTTTCTTAAATGATGTATTATCAGATTGGATATGTAAATGCTTTACAGTCACACTGTTCACTATCTTGATGTTAGTGTGAGTTAATGCCACTTGATTTTTGTGTTTTGATTTGAGCTTTTATGGAGGTAGAGCATCACGTGTATACATTGCTGGCTCATTTCTGATCTTTCAAGCTCTTCCCTTTCCTCCCCTGTGTTTCAGGTGGTCATCACCATCATAACAGGTCTTCCAGGATGTCGTTCCAGTGATCTGTGTGCTTTTCTCATCACTTTCAACAAGGAGCATGGGAGGTTCGTATGGTTCTGGTTTTACTGTCCATAGCAACGATTTTGTGTATCATCAAAGAGCTGCTTGGTGTGAAGGAAATAGAATTATGAATGCTTCACTTTTTTAAAAGAATATCTCAGTTTCTGACTTGTAATTAGGTGCATTATTGAATTTATTCTTATAATTATTACCAGGGACTTTAAATAGTTCTGCACAGCACAGTGTAGGGTGTATTTTTGATGGGGAAGCACTAAATGAGTACAGCTCTATTATTTCAGGTATCTCATTTAACTGCAATGCAAGGTAGATTCAGAGCATTCAGAGAAGAAAAACACCACAATTTCTTTGTTGATATTCCTTATTCCAGATATCAGAGGTGTCATTATAGATCTATCTGAAACTTGTGGGCAGTTGAATCTTAAAAGGGCCAAATGAATCCTGTCTGAAGCATGGAAGTGGTCTTGTCACAATGTTAGGAGCTTCCATTTACTGACTTATGTGGTAATGCATCATTTCTTCTTGGAGAAAACTATATTAATGATCCTTTCAACAGCATTGTTTTTAATCTGCCCTACTTTCCATTCTGCATGTGCAGCAGGGAGGTGTATTCAGGACATGTATTGTATTGCAAAAAACCAAATCCGCTGTAGGGATTTACCATACTGTGTGTTGATATGGATCTTTGATCTGGGAAACAAGAAATTCTTAGCCTTTTAAATCTTACAGCCAGGCACCGTAGAGAGTTGAATCTCTGTAAGGTTCTGGACTGTTGTCTTGTGTCACTTTTAACTCAGAGTCTTCGTATTAGCAAGCTGATGTGGAATATCTTGGTGGTTGTTTTTTTAGGGTGAATGCTTCAGGTGAGTTTTGAATGTTCTATAATGCCAAATTTCAGTAAGTTTTTCATACAGATGTTGTCATGACATCTTTCAGTGAAATATTTTCATGCCCAGAGTTCTTAAATCACATTTTAAGTTCTGTTTACTGCATTGTGAATGAAGATCGGAATTGCTCATATGATGATGTGCATCATTTGTGTAAAAAGCAAACACACAACAAGGAGAAACCACAAACCCTTTTGGCACTGATTTGAAGGAATGTGCTTAGGCTGAAATGATAGAAAACTAAGTAAATTCTTCTTTCCCATGTGTTATGAGAGATGTGGAGCCTTGAGGATTGTCAGATTTATTTTTGGTTGGTCGAAACAAAATGTAAACGGAAATATGATGTCACAGAACACTTTATTGTTGTTGTTTTCTGTTGTTTTAGGTGGTTAGTTTATCGACAGACGATGGATAGCCCTGAGTGTTTTAGTGCAGCCCACTTCCAGCGTTATCTCTCTGGTGTCCTGGAGGCTCAACAAAAGCACGGCGTCCGTCAGTCCGCTTATGCCAGGAAGAGCAAGCGACTCTTAGTGGTCTTGCAAGGGTAAATGTTTGAACTTTGTTTGGACTGTAGCACAGAATAGGGGATTTTCGGTTCACTTCCTATTTCCAAGGCATTTTTAATGTATTTCCATCACTTGGAGGCAGTCACATTTCAGTTCTAACATGTGGTTCTCTGTTTTAATTCTGTTTAATGTACACACTAAACTCAACTTTCCTGCTGCTTGTTAATTTTATTGCTTGCTGCTCCATTGCAGGAAAAAATACCCACAAATATACAAAGCCTTCCTTTTTCTACAGGGGAGGAAGGACTGAATTTGGTCTGTATCTTCTGTTTAAGAGATTGGCTTTTGGCCTTTTTCCAGCTGTACCTTAGCCTGTTGGCTAAATGGTTTTAAAGTTGAAGGAGGGAAGATTTAGGTTGGACGTAGGGGGAAATTCTTTACAGAGAGAGTGGTGAGGTGTTGGAACAGCTGCCCAGAGGAGGTTGTGGATGCCCTGTCCATCTCTGGAGGTGTTCAAGGGCAGGCTGGATGGGCAGCCTGGTCTAGTATTAAATGAGGAGGTTGGTGGCCCTGCATGTGGCAGGGGTTTGGAGCTTCATGATCTTTGAGGTCCCTTCAAACCCTGGCCATTCTGTGATTCTGTTGTTAAATAGCACTCCACTGGAAAAGATATCCCTATTCCCCACAAGAGCCCCAGACATCCTAGATAGAGAGGTGATGGTCCTTCCAAGGCTGATTAATGCTCACGTTCATCAGTATGTCTTCATGTTTGTATTCTCACATCTCCTTCAGACCTGTAAGAGCTCTGGTTGCCCATATTTAAAGCCATAGATTTAGGCAATAGAGCACAGACAACATGAGATTACATTGCCAGCTGCACTCTAGAACAGCAGGTGAATATTCTTGAATACGTCTCTCTATAGCATTATTGTAACGCATAGAGGGAGGGTTGCACGTTGTAGTTCCTGTTGGTACACAAATGAATTATTGGCAGCAGACCCATACTTTGCAACTAACAAAACAGTAAAACACACAATAAATGTTTTAACTGTGAAAGAATGCAGAAAAGCACGTTAGTTAGCTTCGTGTTGTACCTTTCACGTACCGCTTTCTTTGTAAGGTTGCAAAAATATTGAAATTGTTTTGATGAAAAATGAGGGTGGAGCACCTCCCTGTTTCTTCCAGAGGAAGATCTATTGTGTTTAAGGCATTAGATGACTGAGAACATTTTGGTAACTTTTAATTTGTGCAGCTTCAGAACGGAATTTAATTTCAAGAAGTGTGATATGGTATGAAATAAAGACTGTAATTATCTCTCCCAGCTTTGAACAGTGCCATCAACTTCTGAAACATCAGTGAATTCTAGACAGTCATTAATAAACAAATTTATGGTTTTCAGAAGTAAATGGCCCATTCAGTTTGCGGTATTTTTTTCCTCAAAATAGAAACTTTGAAAGCCTGAGGTGCTGTGTCTTGCTTATTTTTTTTTAATAGGATGAGCATGCTGCAGTAAGCATAAGAACCAATCCTTATTTTTTTTCCCTGCAGTATTTACCATCTCTTTGTATTTTTGTTTTTTTCTTTCCATTTTGTAGATAAAAGAATAGTTTGGGTTGGGAGAGATGTTATATGTGGTATCATTCCAGACCCCTGCTGTGGGTCAGGGGGCCACCCAGTGGGTCAGGGGGCCACCCAGTGGGTCAGGGGGCCACCCAGTGGGTCAGGTTGCCCAGGGCCCCATCCAACATGGCAGTCCTTATTTTAATTCTTTTTTAGCAGCAGCAACAACAACAACAACAACAAAAAACATGATGTGAGTTTTCATCCTTCTAGATGATGAGAGATAGGAAGGAGAGGTGATGATGAAAGATTTTGCTCTGTTTCTCTGAAACCTTGTTTTGTTTTGTTCTCTTACAGATATACGGATGTTATTGATGTTGTGCAGGCTCTACAAACTCATCCTGACCCGGATGTGAAGTCTTCTTTTGTCATTGGGACAGTTAATACTTGTGTAGAGCCACTGAGCTGCTACATAGAGCACAGGTATATTACAGAATATTTCCAGCAGTCTGAGAATGGGTTGTTTATGAGTTTGAGATCACTGTTATGATAGCAGGCTGTATGATGGCTAAATGCCATAATTGTCTTAAATCCCTCAAAACTGTTAGGTGATTGGTCTTGGATGAACTTTCAGCATTGGGTTTATAATAATGAAATTTGATTTGGAGTAGGTGTGTAATTATACAGAATGTTAATAGAAGTTTATTGTGTGGAAGGATAAACGAGGCATTAGTATACTCCTCAAATAACGTGTGATGTGAATAATATTTTGTTCAATCTGGATAGCTGGCCTGCTTTGTGTCTGTTTTTTGTGGTCATTCTTTTTCTTATGAGTGTTGTGTAAGTGGGATACGCATCTCAATTGGGGTTATTGTTTATATCACTGTTTTGGAATGTTAAATGAAGGTTTCCTATATTTAAAGCATTGAACGTAAGGAAAGCAGTCATATGTAGTGAAAAAGAATGGCAAAGCACAGAGGCAAAAGCATTGCAAGTATTAAAAATTGGATATTCTGGGTTACCACAGAGGCAGGTTGGGAATAAATCCATTAGAAAGCCAAATTTTAAAGTAGTGTGGTTCTCAAAACACGAACCCTTAACTTCTGTGCTTTACTCTAGCCAATAATAGTTATTTTGTATTTGCTTTTTGGGGTTTTCATAGCCAAGGTTGTAAGTTATAGGAACTACATAAAATGTTGGTGAATTGATGCTGGAGTGCTCTTTAAACTTGTTCTTTCCCAAGTTACAGTCGAAACCAATTCCTTCCCTTGGTGTTTTGTGGTCATGGCACTGAGTGGTATTTATAGCAGCAGCAACCCTTTGACTAACATTGTTTGCCTACTGAAGTGCAGTAGCAATTGAAGGAAGAGGCTTAGCCTATGCTCTCGACTATTTATGTCTCACTTTGAAGTTTGTGCTGATAAGAGCTTACAAATGAGCCACGTACTGCCAATGACAAATCTTTCAGTTGGAAAACTTGGGCAGTTTCACCGTGAGTGTCAAAAAGAGTGATTTTTTTGATGTTTGACTTACAACTTTTGCAGTCAAGAGGAGCAAAATCCTTTCCTGCCCCAGAAAGCTTATGGCTCTGGAGATTTGACTCTTTCATCTGCTAGGGTAAAGTGTTGAACAGCAAGCCAGGACAGGGGATAGGTGGCTAAATACAAACAGATAAGGTACTGTCTCCTGTTCACAGCATTTCTCTGTGGGATAAAGTTAATAAAAATAATTGCCACTTGTCTGACACAATAGCAGATGTGGCATAAAATGGTCAGAAAGCATTATGTAATATCTTCTCAGAAAGAATTCCCTTCTGTATTCAGAAGACACAGTTCTTTAGGGCAAGCTTAACACAATTCCTGTTTTTGTTGTTTGTTGTTGTTTTTTTTTTTTTTTAAACAGACTTCAATATTACTTGAATTTCTTTCTGAGTTCCTAGAATACAGAATAGATTGCATGGTGGCAACTTGCTTTTCAGCAAGTTCTGGGAGAAGAGCTCTTCAAAATGCTAACCTAACTGGAACATCCCTACATATAGATATGGGAAAGGCAACGTGACAATGGGCAGAGTAGTAAGACTCCAGCTGGCAATGTCCCTTCATTCAAATGCTTCCCTTCATTTGGACGTGCAGAAGTAATACCAACTGTCTGTATGTAAACTTTTGCTCTTCTATTGCAGGCTTCTTTTTCCCAAGTTCTTGGACCAGTGCTCCCAAGGTATGTGTCATTTCTCTTGACTGTAAGCTATACAGAACAAGTAGCTGAGCCAGTAGTGAGGCCAGATAAACACACTGTAAATGCATACAGTCAGAGGTCACGATAAGCTCTTTCAGTAAGAACCATCTGTGCAGAAGTGACAATTTCTCTCTATATGGGTACCTGGAGAAGATATAATAACCTGTATGTTACATTCTAACTGTTCTCTCCTGGAGAATGGATTTCTGAAGGCTAGAAGTCAAACTGTTTTCTTGAAGCTGCCATAACTCATGATGTGTTGCTAATCTAGCTGCCAAATGGATGGGGTTTGAAAGGAGAGCTCTGCTTCCTCATACATACCCATCTTTTCTACAGAAAAATATGAGGAAATGGAACTCTCCTTCCATTCTTCCTGTTTTAAAAAGCTAAGAATGAGGTAGGTAGCTTGTTTCCCATATCCAGTTCTTCATACCATATGGGGGATCCTTCTGAGTTGCATTTTACACTGCAGCAGACAAGCACACCTGCAAAAGAGCTGTTTCTTACCTGTGTATTTAGTTTTATGTCCTGACTCTGAAATGAAATGTTTACTGCATCATTTTCTTTGTCAGACTTGGAACCTAGAGCATCCATTAGTGTCAGTGGGCTTCCTGACCTACCATCAAGTAGTTTTAATCTGCAATTGCAAAAGCAAATTCAGCAGTAGCACCTTCACAGGTCAAGTAATCTTTATTTTAAGCAGCCTGAAATCAGATAAACCAGGAACAGTGGGAATTTGAAGACCACAGTTACCGTGGCATGACTTTCTGATCTTGTCTCAACTCCACGACTGTATGGTTTTTGTTTTAAATGCAGTTGTCAAAGCAAGATGCTGCATTCTCTTCTTGTGGCTGTTCAGACGCTGTACTACTTTGATTTGCTGCCAGAATTATGCCATTTTTTGTGTGTGTGTGTGAAGGGAGCCCCCAAAAAAACGAAACTCAAAAGAATGAAGTCATGAGCAAACTGGAAAGTATGTAGGTGCAATTACATAGATCAGTGCTTTGTTCTCATTTGTTAGCTTAGCAATTTAAAAATTAAAACTAAAAAAAAAAAAATGCTTAGAACAAGAATAGCTAATTTTCCCTATGAACCCAGTGCTGAAGAGAAGATGTATTGAGACTTAGAAAAATGTTCTTTTGGCAGCAAATTGTTTCTGCATGTTGCAAGGTTTTGTCGTCTGGTTGGCAGATACAAAACGTGACATCAGATAGCCTAGAGGTCAGCTCATTCAAAGCAAATCTTTGTCTAAAGTTTGAGGAGGAAAACTGCTTTGAACTGAGATGTGAGTGTAACACAAATACAGAGTTGGGCCCTGGGCAGCCTGATCTGGAGGTTGGTGGCCCTGCCTGTGGCAGGAGGGTTGGAAATTGATGACCCTTGGGATCCCTTCCAACCCAAGCCATTCTGTGATCACATTTATAGTAGAAAAAATGTGAAGTGGCTTGAAATGAACAAAGCTTTTATTTCCAGCACCCCTTCCAAAAAAATCAGGAGTATTGTGTGTTGTGGAAATGCAAACACTGTGGTTGTGTCACTGCAGAGGAGCAAGAGGGAATGCAAGATCCAGCTTTATGCACAGCTTAGAGACTTGGCTGCTGGCTCAACAGGAACAGTGCTCAACAAGATCTTCACTGGGAGATACTTGTCCTGATCTTTTTGTCTTCTGCACCCCAGTAGTGTTGGCATTACTGCAGCCCTTATGGGCCGAAGCAGCATTGCACTGGGTGTTGTGCAAGCATAAAGGAAAGATACACGTGGCTATAGGCAACGGATACAGAGGTGACAGTGACAATTTGAATAGAAAAGGTCAAAATGATCAGTTACAAAGCTGCGTGGGCTGCTTCAAACAGCTTTTTTTTGTCTGGGTTGCAGCACCTGTCCATCATTGACTGTTGCCAGTTAACACAGGGAGCCTCCATGTTATATCCACAGGTGTATGCAGTCGAAGCCTGCAAGTTCCACAGATTTTGTTTCCTGCAAGGCTGTGTGGGAGCTTACAACAGGAATGACAGCTAGCATGTTAGAGCTGTTTGCTTTAGAGACAAGCAATGGAAGCAGGGAGTGATGGAGAAGAGTATGAGCGAGAAGGATAGGACGAGATTTCTTCAGTTCTTGGATTTGCTGGGTATTTTATTCCTTGAATCTTCTGAATTCAGGCTTTGCCAGCTTAGATGCTAACAATTACCTTTTCTCTCCAAGGCACAGCTATTCTAATTGTAAAGTATTCTCCATAGCATTTATGACACAGCCTATTTATTGTCCCAACCTCACAGAAAGCGTAACTAGCATTTTAATTAAGCTTTGCTTTTAAATCATTATCAATTCTGAGGATGCTAAAAGAAAAAAAAACCAAAACACACTGCATTTAGCACACCCGCAGTGTGGTGGTTGTTGATTAGCTGATTCATAATTTTCATCTTAATTGCATGATCTACGTAGTAATTTCAAGCATTTATGTGACTTAATTCCTAAGCATGCTTGCTGTTCTTTTCCCTAGTCTCTCTCAAGGGAGCTGTGTAGTGCAGAAGATTATAGATGTTTCTGAAATTGGAGTGAAAAATTCTATGGAGGTTTAAGAAACAGAAATACCAATGGTGGTAGTTGGCATTTGTTACTAAAATCTTAGCTTGGAAAGGTCAGTAATGCAAGTAACAGTTAATGGGAGCGTATGGCATAATGGTCTCCTAGAATGGTTGGCATAGAAATCCATAGAACCATAGAGACATGGAAGATCTTGAGCTGGAAGGGGCCCACAAGGATCATTGAGTCCAACTCCAGATTTCTGTGTAAGGAAACCACTGCCAGGATAAGCGTACTCTGAAGACTTCTATAACTTCTATAGACTATTCTATAGGAATAACTTCAGCAGATGATGATGTGGACTTCATTACGTGTTCTGCTTTAATGGTCATAAGGTGGAATGCGTGCTGGTTCAAACATTCATGGGTGGTTGAAGAGTTTATTGGGCTGCCTCATGCTATACCTGCACTTATAGGGCAGTGTTTGATTCAAGCTGCACGCACACATTTTTGAGCAAAGGAATAGCATTTCTTCTCCATTGTGGACAATATTGACGTCCTAGGGAGACCTGAAAAGCTGGTGCTCCGCTTTGCTGAAGAAATTGCTGGCCTGAAATTCATTCTGGTGTAACACCGCCTCAACATAATTGTAAAGTAGAGATCTTAGAACACTGAAATTAGTTGGATGATAAATCCAATGTATCGTTCAGCATTTCTTCCTCATTAGTCAAGTCGTCTTTGATGATTGGTGTTAGTAGAATCTTTAAGGCTGGAAAAGAGATGACCAAGTCCAACCCCAGCCATGCCCACTGCCCGTGACCCTCTGTGACACATCTTCACTCTGTCACCTCCATGGACAGTGACCCCACCACTCCCTGGGCAGCTGTGCCAGTGCCTGACCACTCTTTCAGAGAAGAAATGTTTCCTAATATCCAACCTGAACTTCCCATTACACGACTTAAGGCCATTATTCTTATCCTATCTCTAGTGAACTGGGAGAAGAGGCCAACCCCTGGTGTTTGGTAGGCTCATTTTTTAATACTTTTTTGTCTTATAAGATTATTTTCAGTGATGCACAGGAAGACAACACAGGTTATAAGAGCTCTTCTTTGAGTCATTGCAGTGACTGGAAAGGATCCTCTCCTTCAGGAGGTGCCATCCCCTCATGGCTATGGTTGTGTTAAATGGGCTTCTGAGCTGGCTGCCCTCTGTGTTGCTGCAAAATAGTTAATAATTGTGTGTGTGGTGATTGTTCACTGTTCCAGTGTGAAGTTAGATGGGCTTCTGGGTTTCTTTGGGCAGGCAAGAGAGAGACGTTTCCTTGCTTGTTGTTTTCCTTAGTAACTTTCATGCATTAAGGTAGAGGGAGAATGAGAGAGAAATGGCTGTTAAATCTCTTAATCATTTGTTAGTTACTGCCTGCACCTGACTTGTGTATACTGTCTTCTCATTTCCTTACACAGGCCTGGTGAGCAACGTGATATTCACAAGTCATGCTACAGAGCAGAGGCATCCACTCCTTATGCAACTGCAGAGCCTCATCCGAGCAGCAAATCCTGCTGTTTCATTCATCCTGGCAGAAAATGGAATTGTAACAAGGTAATGTTAATCACCATCCACCGTTTGTCACTCTTGGCAGATGGGGCACATGCCTTTAGAAGCTTGTATTCTCTTGTTTTACTCTGGTAACTTACACAGATGCCTGTTTTTTTTTTTTTTTTAATTGCTTCTAATGCAAAAGGCATCTTCCCCTTACATTTATGGTTGTATAAATACAGAGATTAGGAAACGTATGTTTTTGCTTGTAGGGTGTGATTTATCTCACTGTCACTGTCACACTGGTGGGAAGATACCCTAATTTACTTGGCTAACACATTCTGTTTTATTTAAGCAGAATACAGATACTGTCTGTTTTATTGAGGTCATAAATTAAAAATGTTCGTCTTTATCCCTCTGTAGGAATGAAGATATTGAATTAATTCTCTCAGAAAGCAGTTTCTCAAATCCTCAGAAGATTAGAGCTCGATATTTAATGTATCCTGGCTGGCAAGTATCTAGACTGAGAAATATTAAAACTATTTTTCTAATTAACTTGAAGATTAAAAAGTCTCACTAACTTAATTTATACTCTTTTTAAGACTACTCATTTGGAACAGAAAATAGCTTTGTAAATCATTTTTGAAAGAGAGCTGATGAGTATTCATAGCAGATACACAACTGCTGTCCTTTTAAGGGGAACAAGATCCTTTCTGGACACCATTTAAATCAATGGCAGATTACTGTTGCTTTTAAGAAGAATAGAAAAGTACCTTCTGGGAATAAGCTGAGAAGGCTTGGGATGGGTGAGGCCAATAATGATGAGAGTAATTTCATTCTGACAGCTATTCAGCCTTACTGGAATGAACTTGCTATTAGCAGAACAATTATTTACTAAAAAAAAAAAGGAAAAGCTGCAACTTTATTGACAGTCTTGGCAAAGGCTTGAGGGCTCAATAATAAATGGTACCAAGGTTTGCTTTTAATTCATAGTGATAGTTTTCATTATTTGGGGTGCTTTGCACATCTTGTTGTAGTTATCTGTGCTGTACCTATTTGGCAGGACATGTAAACTTGTCAGCTGTTAGAACTCCTGGCTGACTGTTTTCCTAGTAACGTTGATAGCTTGGGAAGTATGATTTATGTACCTTGCCTTGCCAGTCCTTTATACACGTGTATATTCTTTGTTCATAATTCTTACTCAAAATCTGGAATGAGTAAGGTTCCTAAAGTGAATTGGCACAAGGCTGGGAGTGTGCAAATTGCATGGTGCCCAAAGAAGGGAGAGAAAACCTTTAGACAACGGTTAATGTATTTGATAGTACGCAAGAACAGTAAGTAGATAGCATGTAAGGGGAAAAAACTAGCAGCAGAAGAACATCAGAATGATTCCTCAGCTCTTTAAACAATCTCAGACTTAATATTACCCTTTCATAGAATCGTAGAACTCTTAGAGTTGGAAAGGACCTCTGAGGGTCATCAGTCCAACTCCCCTGTAATGAACAGGGGCACCACAGCTAGATCAAGTTGCCCAGTGCCTGATCCAGCCTGGCCTTAAATGTCTCCAGGATGGGGCATCAACCACATCTCTGGGCAACCTGTTCCAGTGCCTTACCTGGATCTCTTTGTAGGAAAAAAAAAAAACCCTACCCTCTTTCTTGCAATGAGGAAAAGCCACCTGTAGTGAAATAACGAATGTTCTTTTTTAAAAGATCTGCTAGGTGAAAAGCATAGATGTGTGTTTTCATTCTTGAAATCTTTCTTTTGTCTCAAGGTATGAAGGTAAATACGGAGCTGGGTCTGTGTTTCCTCCAATGGTTCAGATCTGTGTGTGGTTTAGCCGTCCTCTGGAAAAAACACGATTTGTGACCAAATGTAAAGGTACAAGTGAACTTTGACTGACTTGATTTAAATCCAAGTTTAAAAGGCTGAGGAATAGAAGGAAAGGAAGACACTGACGTAGCACTGTCCTTTAATTACTGCTGAAGCAAACTTTTAATTGAATATGCAGCTTTCCTTCCTTGAAGTACAGTAAATGACCTTTAGCATCTGCCCTGGAAAACCGACCCATGATTTTGTTCAGATAAAGATGTAATGTCTAAAGGCTGAGATGGTTATCTTCACGTGTTTTGCTTTTTATTTTAAATTCACATTCATTTATTAGTATGGAAATGCAGTTTGTAAGAGAGCATCAATTCCTACTGTTTGTGCCCAGCAATTATTTGTAGTTACTAGAAAATAGGCTCAGCTGCATGTTAGGCTCCTAGACCAGATGTATAACCATGCCCTTCCTTCTTTCCATAGCAAAACAGTGTTAAGGAGCACCACTTTACTTTCCACACGCACTGTAAGCGTTCACTATGCTTGAACACATTATTTCCCACCTACCCCATAGAGGAGAGTTGAACGTGTAGAAATGTTCTGTAGTGGGAGCTCTGGGGGATGCTGCAGCTTTTCCCCCTGAAGCATTAGGATGTGGATTAGAGACCTGTAGCATAGGACTGATGAGAAGCTGCACCAAGGAGAAGAGCAATAAATGAGATAACGTGTTTGTCCTCCATTTCTAACAGCAATTAAGTCACTGCTCAAGCCAAGTCCCTTTTCTGGAAACATATATCACATCATGGGCAAAGTTAAGTTTTCAGGTAAGGGCAAGATATTACTTCTGCAGTGTTTTAGGGTTGTATTGCATGTGGTTGTATTTGGAAACACACCAATGCGTTGGTGTTAAATTAGATGAGCAAGTTATCAAGGCACCTTTTTTTCTTCTGTCTTCTCCTCGTTAGATTCTGACAAAGTGATTGAGGTTTGTCACAACACATCATCCAACTCTCTAAGCCTTGTGCCTGTTCAGGAGGGGCCAACTCCTCCTGATTCAAGAAATGATAGCAGAGATTGCAGCGGTCAACAGGAGTACTTCCTTGTGTTCATTGGCTGCTCCCTTAAGGAAGAGGATATAAAAGACTGGCTCAGAGAAACAGCAAAACAGGTTCGTGGGCATGTTTACTTTTGTTCAGCGTGACCTGTTTGGTATTTCTAAACAATGAAAGGTGAAATCTGAGTGTCTTGATGAAACCTTTTTGTTAATCTTCTTTCTCTTCTGCCAAGGAATTAGCATTCCGAGTGTAAGTTGTATTTCATACAGAGTTTCATACAGTTTGCAAATGCCTGTTGTTTTAATAACTGCTATAGAGTATTCGTGGATTGATCTGCTTTTGAACACTTGAGTAAATGGAGTATGTCCAGAATAAACACGAGATGATTAAGCTGAGATGCGATTGCCCAGAGCTAAAATGTAGTATGAAATAAATCTTGGAGGAGCTGAACAGTGCTGAAAACATGTTTTGATTCCGTAAATTAAACCTCCTTGGCAGTAACTCATTGAAACAGAGGGTCTAGCTTTTTCGTTTGTTCTTGCTATATTTAAGTGTACAGCTGTGCAAGATTGCTTGTGATCCTGCATGGTTAGTGTACATACACAACACAGGTAGGGAATGGAGTACCATAAGAAGCTATGGAAGCACATTTTGCAGCACTGGTCTCTTTCTAACTTCTCAGACACAGGCACAGCCTGACCACAGTGACCACGGGATGAGAAGTTTTCTCCTACAAAACCAAGTAATACCAGCAGTTTTGTCAAACTGAAGGTGAAGGTCTTGGGAAATGAGTCTGAAAGTTTTGGTTTGGAAATACACTTGAACAGAAACTGTTGAGCCATACAAATGCTTTATTTTAGTACTTTAACTGGATCCTGAATCTGTAGTTCCAACTCTGCCCTTTTATGATGCCATTTTGGAACATCTTAATTAAAGATGCTCATAATTACTTTTTTTAACGGGTTAGGATTTGCATAGTATCTCAAGAACATTGTGTGGGAAGGGGAATAAGTTTCCTGCAGGTTACTTCAAGGAGGTATGCATTTTCTGTAATGATATCTCGTGCTCTGCATATATCACACAGGTAATATATGGAGACAGATATTTTTTTCCATGTAAGAGAGCACTCTCTGAAATACTGTTTTAATCTTCTTAAAGCTTGGAACTTAAAATGAATTGCATATCTCAAGTGTGAATTAGTTAATCTGCATTTTCAAGGAAGTACTTTGCTGTTTGTTTTTCTAATGTAACTGAACTGTAATGTCACGTTGTTGTACAGAGGGTATATAACTGGGGTCTAATTCTTTATACAGAAACCTCAGAGGAAAGCCCTGAAAACCAGAGGAATGCTAACCCTTCAGGAAATAAAAAACATTCATGTAAGTAGAAGCAATTAACAGCAGATCCTTTTGGATGAATTTTTCAAGTATCCATTTGTACGATAGAGCACCTCCCGTGTCTGCCATAACAAGTGTGCTGAACACTAAATTACAGCATTTACTGTCTCTTTATATACTCAGAACATAGATGAGGCTGTCCAGGAGGGATTTGAGAGATAAATCTTGGTGTTGTGTAGGCATTTATCTCAGTAAGCCCTGAAAAATGGGGGAGAGCGTAGGATGTATAACGGTCTGCTTTTACACATCTTTTCTTCCTGTGCTGTACTGAGCAGATTATCACTTCCAAATTAGGATCCCAAAAGCCTTATCCTGCCTTTATCAACTAACTTTGGGATGTAGGTGCTGTCTCTCGAGTTGAAGTACTAAAAGTTTGGCATGGCTGAGTATTGCTGTACTGAATTCCCTTTGTCTGTTTAAATATCATCTGTCATACTGCCTTTTCAGAGTGCTACTTTTTAGCACCTGGCTGAAAAGTACTTCTTGCCTGGCTGCTAAAGAAGGAATTTTTCCTCGCTGTTTAAGCTTGTTAGGTCTGTAACTAAGCAATTTTCACGTATGAGTGTTTAATATGCAGTATATTCTTTCTTAATGTAGGTGAAACGCCACTTGGATCCGCTTCCAGCTGGATATTTTTACAATGGGACTCAGTTTGTGAACTTTTTTGGTGACAAAATGGATTACCACCCATGTATCCTTTAAGATGCATTTTTTTTGGTGAAGGGTTTAGGTAGGGAGGCTACAGACTGCAGGTCTGAATTGTAGGCTGCTAAAGCAGTTGATGCATTGGAGAGCCAGTTTGTTTACAGGTACTTGTCGTTTAAAAACACATTTTTAAAACACTTTTTTGAAAGTATGATCTGGGAAGCAAAGTAGAACCAAAAAAACCAATCCTCTAAATTGCTGCACGCAATTATGTGCAATGGATAATTTGTGGACCCCAGCTTGTCAAAAGAATGTTTCTCAAACCAATTAGCTGTGCAGTGTTGCTTAATTCTTGGTTACGACTGATAACATTTCCAAATGGACATTATTGCCCCAAAGTAAAAGCGATCAGGTTGGTTTGTTTTGCTGTGGTATCATTCTTGCTGTTGCCTGTGTCTTTGTGGCAGAGCTGAAATTCAAATTGTAGAAACATAGAATGGCCTGGGTTGAAAAGGACCACAATGATCATCCATTTTCAACCCCCTGCTGTGTGCAGGGTCACCAACCAGCAGACCAGGCTGCCCAGAGCCACATCCAGCCTGGCCTTGAATGCCTGCAGGGATGGGGCATCCACAACCTCCTTGGGCAACCTGTTCCAGTGCTTCACCATCCTCTGAGTGAAAAACTTCCTCCTAATATCCAACCTAAAGCTTCCCTGTCTCAGTTTAAAACCATTCCCCCTTGTCCTGTCACTATCCACCTCATAAACAGCTGTTCCCCCTCCTGCTTATACGTTCCCTTCAAATGTTGGAAGGCCACAATGAGGTCTCCCCAGAGCCTTCTCTGGATGCAAAGCAGAAATATGACCCATGTGCAGAGGTGCATTTTCTGTAATCACTTTTTAAATTCATTTAAGCAAGTAAAATCTTTATTTTAAAAGTACTTCAGCTTAGCAAGTGGTACGATGTACTTATCTAATTGTGATATATATTTGTTTGCAAATGCTCTGTCCTTACTGGTATTGTTTGATATCAGTTACAAAAAGAGCTAGAGCCAAAGCAGAGTCCTCTGGTTTTCTTTCCAGAACCATATTGATTTTCTTTTTCTTTTTTTTTATTTAAACCCGACCATATTCTTGTCTCTGGCAAGAAACTCCATAGTAATACTCATCTTCCAGTGTATTTCTATTCTTCTTGTTTCTCTGTCTCTGTTGTTTGTTTGTTTGTTTTTTTGCCTTTGTTTTATCACTGAAATTTCAGACTTACCGTGGTCTTAAATTCCCAATTGACTTCACTTCAACTTAGGTAAACGTCACAAAAACACGAGTGGCTTCTGTTTGGGATTAAGAACAGATATGTTTATGTTCCTATGGGACAAGGTTACATTTTCTATCAGCAGACTTCTGGCTGTTCCTGGCTATGTAACACTGGCAGAAAATGAAATAACAGTGAACTTCAGCTCCACTCTTCACTCCACCTTTACACCATCAGGATGCTGGTGTTGGGGAGGAGATGATGTTTGTGCAGGCACTTTTGGCAGCTCTGTGTTGGGCTGATTTTATTGAATTTAGCTTACTAAAGTAGCTATCAACATTTGCAAACCTGCTGTAATTCTGCTGTCATGTTTTCTTTCTCATGGGAAGCTCCTTTATTCTGCGTTAATGAAGAGTAGCTGTGGTTGGGTCTGATTGTGGGACTCCTGGAAAATATTGCATTGGATTTATTTTCAGTCAGCTTTCCTAAACTGTTAGATCCTTCCAATCTGTTTGTTCTTTTGTAACGAACACTGTTTGCACAAATGTTCTTATTTTCCTTAGCTTTTCAAATTCAGTAATGGACCAATTCATGAATGATTACTTGGAAGAAGCCAACAGGGAGATAGAGAAGTACAACAGAGAACTAGAAGAGCAAGAGTATCATGATCTCTTTGAGCAGAAGACATAAGCACGTGTATTCTGTGGACTTCTAGACCACTTCTTGTCAGTAACCAAAAATGCTGTTGTCCTTGCTGGTTAACTAGAAAATTAAGTGAAATATCAGTTTTCTGCACTCCTTTTGAAACTAAGATCATTCCTGTAAGGTTGGCATTTTTACTATGGTAACTGCTTAGCTGTTTGTACTGTCAGGTTTGCTTCCACTTCACCTTAATTCCAGACTGTAAAAAGCATCACCTGGAATCTCTGGCTAGTAGTGGAAATGTCTTGAAAAGAAGAAAAAAAAAAAAAAAGGAAAGCTGTATTTCCTAGCAGGTCAGAATGTAAGCATGAATTGGTCCAACGTGCAGAGAATCGAACTGCTTTCATCTCTTGGATGTCCCTTGAACCATGTTGCCCATGAGCACTGAAGAGCAGTGGTATACTTCAGTATGTGGGATTGGGGGATGTTCCCAAAGCGAGAAATGGGGGAACGTTTCAAAAGCTCTGAGGAGTTCCCAATCCTGCTGCTGTAAGGGTGTTCCTAAAGCGAGAAATGGGGGAACGCACAAACCTCTGCTCTGCTCCCAAGGGCACAGCGTGTCTTACAAAACCCTCTGCACGGTCTGAATCTGCAGACAAAATTTTGACTCTTTAAAGAAAAGATGTTTATACATTTCAAGGTGAAAGGAGAGACAGGTGGAGATGCTTCTTCCTTTCCAGTGCTGTTCTAGCAATTGATGTCGTGTTTTCTAGAATGTACAACTTGCTGTTGCTTAAATGATTCCTACTTGAGTAGTAAAGACTAAGCAGAGCAAGCAAAGGAGGAGAGCATGAAAAGCCAGGATTCTTTAGCTAAAGAATTGCTCCTCCTGTTTCCAAAGGTAAAAAAATAAATAAATACAAGACGTACTTGAAGTAGGAAAGAATTTGGGAAGCTTTGCACATTGTAACACTGAACTGATGCACCCAGACATTTACAGTTACCAGAGGGTTCTGTAAAGGAAACCTGGGCAATGTGTCCTTTTAAGTGAATTTGGTCCAACTTGAAGCGAGGCCTCATAGCTCATTAAAGGAATATCAGTATGTGGTACCCTAGCAGCTACTTGAACATCATTATTGAAGCTTATTGAATGAGCAGATTATCGTAGCGTGCTGTGCATTCAGAATTTAGTCAAGTGAAAACATTCCAAGTCCTTAGAAATAGTTCTGTCTTTGGTCAGATATATGTAATATGGTAAGAAATTGAATGATCTCTTAGAAGAAATACCTATACATAACCCAGCTTCTTTCCATGGGAGAAAAATGAGATTTATCTCTCGCCATTAAAACCAATGGCTGCATATGGCTTAAGAAATGTATTTTTTACCTTTGGAATCTGACATGGCCCAAACTTCAAGAAGCTTATCAGAACCTGAAACACTTCATTGGCGAGGTTTCAGTGCGAGTTGCTACTAGCTGGCTCCATGGGGGTCCCATGGTGCAAGTGTGGAATTCCAGGTGCTGCAGACTGGGATATAGATGTTGATAAGGTTTCGTTCTAGCTTTCCTCCTAGATTTAAGAAGTCGTCTGAACGTAAGAATTCTTTTTCTTTGCACACCATGAGGCTTTATAAACGACTTGTATCCTGTTAAGGCCGGTAAAAGCCAGCTATAGTTGTGTATCTAGGCTTTCTGGGTAACCCTATTACAGGTATAGAGCATCGTGATAAGGCTCGTGAGTTTATCTATGCATGGCTATGGGTTTAGTCTTAATATACTGTAGTGCCTGGTAGAGAAATGTAGCTAGCAGTGGATGTAGGGGGCCAGCAGTGTTTACAGACTAAGTGCAGTTGGCAGCACAAAGCGATGCATCAGACCAGGGTTATGAGGGAACAGAATTCTGGAGCTAAAACTGCAATAAAAGGAAAATTCCTAAGGTCGGATTCTTTGCCAGCCAACTTAGTGTAAACCCTGTGTGCTCCTTTTCAGTACCAGTTATCTAATCTGCAAAGCCATATATCTAGGATAGCAGAACGACGGCGCGACGTCGGAAGAAACAACGGTGGCTGAATGGCTTTAAGTCAGCGGCCGTGTAGGTTTAAGTGCAATTGATTGAACCATAGATGAAGATGCTGTAGCTTGCTTTGCTCTGCTGAACTCTTTTTAAGAACCCCCAGTTTGTGCAGCGTTTGAACGTGAGGGTTCCTATGGGGCCTGGAGCTCTCCATCACAAACCCCCGTGAGCTCAAGTGAAATGAGTGTGCAACGTGTGCACGTGGAGGTGTTCTTCAAAAACCAGGTCAGAAGAGCTCAGAACAAAGGCCTAGTATACAGATATACCGTACTGCATGCTATGTGAGGATAGCTGTGTATTAGGAAGACCTTTCACCATACTGGTACTATTTCAACGATGATATTTTGGTATTGAAATGATTTGATTACCTCAATTTATTATTATTATTATTTTTTTCTTTTAGCTTTTAACTGTGACTTCAAAACTGAAAAATTACCGAAACAGTGAAACTGTGACAGAGGTATCCTTGAAACAGAGCAGTGCCTTGCAAACGATGCCATTTATGCCCAAAGCCTAAAATAAATGGACATCGTGGGTTGCATTGCTTGCAACCTCTTTGTTTTTTTTTTAAAAAAAAGAAAAACAGTTTTGGTGAAAGGACTTAAAATTAACCTAGTGAAGAATATTAGCACAAATTCTGTTTAAAAGGAAGCTCTTTGAGGACTCAAAGGTGTAAACGCCTGATGCTGCTGCTAGCAGTTGCTGATTATTTGGGGGTTATTTGTAACAGTCAGCAGCACTTTTCTTTCTTGTTTTGCTTTTTTTTTTTTTTTAGAAAACATAACTTTTGTACTCTGATCAGAGATGTTTATAAGCTGGAAATGTGGTTTCCTCACTCTTTTGGAGTTGGGGTAAGGATGGAGTTACTCCTAAGGATCTAGTTTTGAAAACTTTTTAGCTACTGTAAAACTAAAATAAAATACAAAAAGCACCATTTCTAAACCACAAATGTTTGGATACAGGAAAAAGTGCCATTACACTGTTCCGTTATCTTTTACTGTATTTTGGGGAGAAAAAAAAAAAAGAAAAAACAAACCAATATGGTAACAGTAACTTTGTGTCCAGGCATTTCTGAGATGGGAAAGAAATGCTGAGAGTCCTCAAGGGGTTTACATGCTTTGCTGACCTTCATGTTAGCAGCTCGTGGTGGTGATGATGATGTGTTGTTTGTTATTCTTCCCCCTCACGGAGAATGAGTGTGATCAGAAGTTACTGAAGTTATAGGGAGAAAAAAATGTGACCAACTTAGGAGAGGAACGTCTGCAACTTGGGCAGAGTGTTTGCTATGAAGCCATGCAATTTGCTGTCAGCCTGATGTTAAGCTTTGCAATTCACGAGACTGATTGCAGGGAGGACTTCAGTTGCATGTAAAAGTTCCCTACTAAGTTGCTTTTTGTTTTGTTTTTTTTTTAATTATTACTGTTTTTTAATTGAAATCTTTTCAGAATTTGCACAGATTTAAGCTCTGGAATACGTTGGTATTCTTAAAAGGGAAAAATTGTAACTAGTATAGTGAATTGTGAACTGTGAGTTGTTAGAACTGCATTGCTGATCTAATTTTAGATTGTTTAAAAGCGTACCTCAGAAAGCTAGTGAGAAATTGCTTCGTTTTTACACGAGTCTGATGCTGATGTAACACTTCTCACTTTACAACGTGCCAAAATTCACTTTGATACTAGTTCTCAATGCTTTAATATTTGCAACGTTAAGTTAAAAACTTGTATTTTTCAAACACTACTGTAACTTCAGTTTAACTGAATGGTGTGAGTGAAGCTTTTTTTTTTGCCTATTGTATTTATTACACAACTTGATTCGGTAAATATGAAATGACCTTTCCATTTATTTTTGTATTGTTTTACATGTTTATACCTGCAGTTTGTGTGACTTTTACACCTGTAACTCAGATGTGATGGAAAGAACCAATAAAACAGTATCCATCTGCTGTCTGGTTGGCTCCTTCAATTATGCTCGTTATTTCCTCAGCTTGGATTTCTGATCGTTGAAGTTTCCTTTAAAAATGTATTACTTTTCTAAGCTGGTAAAGTTAAGAGGAATATAGAAAGGTGATTAATTCATATTCAACAAAAAATCTGAACATTTAAGAAAATTGTTTTCTTTTTCTTTTTAAGCTGCTGTTTTAGACCTTCTTACACGGACTCCTAATAATGAGTTGGAGGAGGGATGTTAATTGGCTTCATGCTTGCTGTCTCAGTCCTTCAACCAACTCTGCTTAACCGTAAGTTGATAGTTGCACATACCCAAATGCAAGAGCTAAATCTGCTCCTTGTGTTCATAACTGATCTTGAAGCTGCATCCTCGGCTTCTGTTGATCAAAAATCAGGCTGCTGTCGAGAGGGCAGTCGTAGAATCATAGAATCAATTGAGTTGGAAGGGATCCTTAATGGTCATCTGGTCCAACTGCTCTGCAATGAACGGGGACAAATGAACAGTCCCACCTTGCCTGCCTTTTTCTGCACAGACTGCACAAAATCATTCACGTTGGCTTTCCCAAGAGTGTTGTGGCCCAGTTCTTAATGGGGGCATGCATTCTTAAGTCAAGCCCTTGGGCTAGATGTTGGTCTAAGACCATATCTGGAGGTTAGTTGCCCTGTGGAGCTTGATGATCCTTCCAACCCAGGCCATTCTATGGTTCTGTTATCTTAGTGCTGACCAAGTAACAAGGAGGGTTTCCACCATGCCTTAAATGCTTGAGTAGGGGAATCTACAGCCTCAGCTTATGTGTTTACTGATGTCACCCCGTGCCATTATTCTTACGACGCTTCTCAAACAGAACTAAGACTTAACCTGAAATCAGTTTGTGATTGATAATTAAAGTGTAAAAGTCATCATTTGGTTTATAAAAGAGGTGGTAGTCCCGGGATGCTCCATCCTATGGAATTATTTTTCCAAGGGCAAAAGTTAGGGAAGTTAGTTTTTTTTCATCCCAAGAGTATTTATCTGGAAACTTTCAGAAAATGTTAGCCATAAGTAATATGCCTTGAGTTGTGATGAGCCAGCAGTGCTCATGGAGAGCAAGTTTCACTCTGTTCCTTTTCCCATCAGTTTTCTGAATATTTACCAAAGGCCAAAGAATACCCCTTCTCTGACCTAATACCTGTTTAGGGGCTTTGCAGGTGTGTCCTGCAAAATTCCCTTTCAGTTGCATCATCTCATCTGACGGCATCTGCAATCAGAGCCAAGCCAAAGCTTGTGTTGCTTAACAGTATGGGTGCAAGAAGCTGAGCTTTAGGAACAGGCTGCCCAGAGAGGTTGTGGGTGTCTCATCCCTGGTGTTCAAGGCCAGATTGGATGGGGCCCTGGGCAACCTGGTCTAGTATTAAATGTGGAGGTTGGTGGCCGTGCATGTGGTGGAGAGTTGGAGCTTGGTGATCCTTGAGGTTCCTTCCAATCCAGGCAATTCTGTGATGTGGAATTTCTTAGCCTACGTGTCTGCAGACAAATGGTGCCGTGTTAGCTTCGCAATTTGCCAGCCTAATTAAAGTAATGAGTTCACAACAGGAATTGCATGAAAATGGAACACTTGTTTATTGAATAGCCCTGTGGGTTCGGCTCCCATTGTACGCCTCCAACAAGGTGCTTGTGTGATCCCTTCTATTGAATTCGCTTAAAATAAACCTTCATGCTAGTTTGATGTCTTGGTAGGAAAGAAAACACCCAATGGGCAAGGCCTGGAAGATTTCAATAGCATTATTGCTTCAGGACAGACAGAAAAAAAAAAAAAAAGAGCATGGAAAGTAAAATCTGAGTGACCCATTCATGGCTAGGAAATCATTAGGCACACAATGTATTGTATAGATCACTGTAAAACCACCCGACACGAGTATAACAGGAAATTTATAATAGTTAAAATTGAGCCTTCATTTAACCCCACCAAAAATCTTCTATTTTTCTGTGTTATCAAAGTTAGTTCAATATTTGCTTTATATACATCCTGTTCCGGACTTTGATTCCTCTATATAGCACACCTTCCTGCCTTCTAATCTCTGATTTATTACATAACCGTTTTTCTTCCGAAGCTTTTGCTTTGCTTTAACTCTTTATCTTGTCAGCCTGGGAGCTGCTTCTGCCCTGACCCAGCATAGGGCCCAGAGGCTTCGTGCATGCTGCCTTCCATAGCCCAGGGCTGGGCACTGCTACCCTCCTGATGCTCCAAAACTTCACTGCAACATGGAGAGATGGGGAGGAAGCGCCGTCCTCGAGGTCAGAGGGGATGTCAGCAGCAGACAGGGAAGGTCCCAGAGACAGGTTTGGTGCCGAAAGCTATTGAAAGATGTGTTTCCTGCATAACAATAGAGGATTTTGTTGTATTTCCCCATGGAACCTCTTGAGATAAGGGCTGAGGTTCATCCTGTACCAGCAGACACATCCCTTCTCTCTGTTGGCACGAAGAACACAAAGAGGGAATTACAAGTGACGGTGCCTCCCTTGTGCTGTCAGAGGTGACCTGCCCCTATTCAGTGTATTCTATCCTGAATGTACCACCAGAATGACATGCATCTTCCTAATGCACATCTGCATCAGTGATTACAGATGCTATGAGGAGGTGCCGTGGTGGGAATGGAAGACTTCTGCTTTGTTTTTTGGGAAGGAGATGAAGGAAGGCAGAAAGACAAGTCATAGAATCGTGAATGGTTTGGGTTGGAAGGGACCTTTTTAAGATCACCTAGTTCCATCCCCCTGCTGTAGGCAGGGACACCTCCCACTTAGGTTGCTCAAAGCCCCATCCATCCTGGCCTTGAACACCTCTAGGGAGAGGGCACACACCTCTCTGAGCAACCTGTTCCAGTGTCTCACCACCAGCCATCCCTAAGTCAGCACAGAACCATAGAATAGTTGATTGGAAGGTTAAAGATTATCTAATTAAAGCATCTTCATGTCCTCCTATGTCTCCAACTGCTGGTCCAGCCCAGGGCAAGGATGCAAGAGAGTTGGCTCCAGCTTTCTCATGTTTAGTGATGTGTCCTTCAACCTCCTAACGAAATTGTTTTGCCTGAAGGTCACACTGTCCCCCTGCTTGAGGACTTCTCCCTTGCGATGGTGGTTATGATGGAGCAGGGTTGATATGGGAGATATCTTCTCTCTCTGGCTGCAAGAACAGAGAAATAACTTCAGGGGGAAATATCCTTACAATAAGCAAGGGGAGCTGGAAAGGGACCACTACCCCCCCCGGGTCTGTGCTGCAGGTTAAAATCACTGCTGCACAGTGAATAGAATACAGCTGTTATGAAATTGACTTGGTTTGGGAAGGGTGTCCCTTCCTCTAGCAGCTGTGTGTTTGGTTAAGATAGGTGGGTGCAGATTCTAACAATAAGCTTTCCTGGGAACACAGATGGGCTCACACAGAGGTCAAAGAGAGGGATTGAGCCAGCACCAGTCCTGGGATGGGATGCTGTGGGCGATGTGGGAAAACAGTGTGGGCGCAGGAGGAAGCATGGTGTCCTCTAGCCTATGACCTCCGTGTGCTTCTTCTCCCAAATTAAGTGGACTTCAAGCACTATAGAAGGAGAAGAGAAGGAATGTGCAGAAGGATGGGAAGACCTGTGAAAATTGTCTTCCACTCCCTGGAAATTACCTAGAGATGAACCACGCAGGCTGGGGAAGGGCAGTGTGATCCCTCCAAACCCCTGGCGATGGGTCTGTGTGTCAGATTTTGGTGTCCTTGCAGGGAACCTTGAGGAGCACTGTGGTCCCACTTCCCTTCAACTTCAGCACGAAGGAGCAAACTACTGTTTGATTTATTAACCAAAGTGGAGATGTGCTCCAGATGTGAGAACACGGTTGGTACAGATCTGACAAAAGATGAGAGCAACATCCCTGGAGAGGGGGAGAGTGAGGCATGACTCTTGCTAGGAGTCATCAGAGTCATGTAAGATATGAGGAACTATTGTTTGCATGGTGTTACCTTGATATAATTTGGTATAACTACATCTACCCAGTGCCTTGCAATGGCATTAGATTGAAGCCAAGCCTGGATCAATGCACCCAAGCTGTTGTAAGGTGAGAAAAGCCACCTGCCTTGCAGCTACTGGCACTGCTGCCCAGAGAAGTGTGGGTGCCCAAGATCATGGATGGCCTGATCTGGTGGGGGGCAAACAGCCCATGGCCAGGGGTTGGAACTGAATGGTCCCTTCCAACCTAAGCCATTCTGTCAAGTAGAGCCTGGCAAAACCCAGTGGGGTTGCTTGGCTAAATTTGATGAGGAAAAGTGGTGGGATTCTCTGGTGGCAGCACTGCAGCATGCAGCATCAGCCTGGTGGGAACATCCCTTGGTTGAGCTTATGGGGATGGATGGGATGTCCCAAAGCAGCACTGAAAGGCAGGGCTCATTTCCAGTAGGAGGAAGGAGCACCAGAAATGTTGCCCACCTGGGTGGCTGATGTCTAGAAACATGGTTAGAACTATGGATTTTCCCTCTTCAACCAGACTTAAACTTTGAATTTCCTCCCTTGAGGATCTAGGTGGCACTACCCAGCAGCCTGGGATGTGGTAGCAGAGGCAGACCCCATCAGCACCATCCAGGATATGTTGAACTCCATCATGAGCTCGCCAGTCCCTTTGGGATGCACAGAGGAGTTCACATCTCATGGAGCTCCTGATGCAGCTGGCTCACAGACAGCACTAAGTTCACCCATCTGCTGCTTTCTTGGCAGCTGGTGAGGAGAGAAAAGTAATGATCATTTCCAATCAAAGCTGTACATCTGCATTAAGCATCCTGGAGGATTCCTCCAGCAAAGCTTGCTGTAGGGAATACAGACACCAGCATGGGCCAGGGAGGCATTTTCCCCTTGTCCTGGGCTGACCTTTGTGCAGTGAGGGAACATTCATGATTATGAGCAAGTTTTGCTCAACGCTGAGAACTCTCATCCCTTTTTTGCACTCAGTAGCACTTCTTGAGTTCCCAGTTGACATTTCAAATGCAAGTGATGCATGCTGCATGCAGCTTGCAAAGGTCTGGGTCACGAACCTGCTGGTTGTAGTCCTCTGCATGGGCTTTCCCAGGAGCTTTCCATTACCATCCCAGCCAGCAATCTACTCTGCTATCCTATAGGGAGGAGAAAATCAGTGTTTTCTTTGTGATTTTATATCTTATTGCTGTTTACTTTCTTGCTCTAGACGTGCAGTTCTCCATGCAGTGCTCTCCCTACCCACGTTATCCATCTAATCCTTGCTCCCAAAGTCCCCTGCTGTGATTTCATAGAATAGCTTTGGTTGTAAGGGACCTTAAAGATCATCTAGTTCCAACCCCCCCTGCAGTGGGCAGCCTTGCCATCCATTGGATTTCTGGAAGTCACCGTGTGGAGGTGAAATGGAAGCTCTGTAAATCTGAGGGATGCTCTTAGCTTTACCTGGGGAAGGCAATGTAGTGGCCTTGAGGCTGTCAGGCAGCCCTTGAAGCATTAACTAATATTTGGGTAAGATTTTAGCTTGCAGAAAGCCAGTCTCAACTCATCAGCTGCAGATTAATTTTTTAACTTAACTGAACTGACTTCTGTTTTTTTTCCTTTTGTCTCTGTAAGTTGGAGCCCTTCAATTAATTACGTATCATATGCAGCCAAATTTCCTCTTTCATTTCTAAGGGAGGAAAAGGGAGATGGTGAGCCTTGCTTGGAAATAAAAGCCATGGGGCTTTGGGAAATGATGGTCAAGGATCTGTGCAGCAGGCAGAGGGAAATGCAGCCAGATTCTACAGTGGCGAGCTGAACCTGATGTCACCATAGATGGTGCAGCTGTAGTGTGTCACGAGGCAGCTTTGACCTTCTCCTTGAGCAGGATATTGCCAAATGGGGCTGCAGTGAGGTTGCTGAGGGTATGTTTGCATATAGTGGCACAGGCTGCCCAGAGGAGTGGTGGAGTCACCGCCCCTGGAGGTGTTAAAGGACCTTAGAGATGTGACAATGGGGGACGTGGTCAATGGGCGTGGTGGATGGATTGGGATTGGGGATCTCAGAGGTCTTTTCCAGCCTTAATGAAACCTTCTGTGAGGAGCTCTGCTCTGCTCCAAGTCTGATATGAGACACCAGAGGGTTCATGTGGGATGAAAGCAAGGGAGGATGCTTTGCAGCTCTTTGAACGTGGGTCACCTGTAGCCTTTTCTGCATGGACAGGTCAGAGAGCCTGCTCAGAGCGTGGTCTGTGCTCAGAGTGGAGAAATCCCATTTTGCTGTCTCTTATTTCAGGCTACTGGCTGTGCTTGAGCTGTTTGCTGCCTGTCACAGCAGAAATGATATTGGTTGGATAGGAGGACCTGGATCTCTTCTCCAGCTGATTTCCACCAACTCAAGGAAGGAACATGACAGAATGCAGCCATTTCCTAAGCCCAACAGAGCAGGACAAGGTGCCACATTTTAGCATGTCCTTCCAGGAAAGCCAAATCCATCATCCACCCCCAAGATGTGTCTCCTTTCACGGAGGGCTGTATCAGCAGAGATGCCCTCCACCACCCAGCAAACCTTCAGAACCTCCTGAGGATGCATCAGGTATTCCAAGCAAAAAAAAACAACAAAAACCCTTCTACTGCCAGGAATGACCCATCTGGTTCCTTTCTAACTTGGAATATTCTATGTTCTACTGGATCCCGCTCTCAAGCTGACTCTGAGAATATAAGGAGGGGAAAGCCACTGTGATGTGAAAGCACCTGAGAGACCTCAAGGTGTGTCTGGAGCCATGTGGAGCTGCAGGTTCCTGAAATTAAGCCCTTCCCCAGTTGAGCAGAGCATAACCAGGCCGTCAGCAGAGTTTACTCTCTGTTTTCCTCCCAAGGGTAGGTAAAAAGAAGGTAGGAGAAAGAAAACAAAGTCCAAAAGCACAGCTGTTTCCTTGCTTTGGTTTTGCTTCTTTGATGGCAGCTACCTTGGGGATCTGAGCTGTGTTTTGTTCCCATTCTAAGATACCTGAAATGTTCAATTCAGATTATCCTTGGAGAAAGCTTAGGGGAAAGCAAAATGCTGCTTAAGCATGTCTCTGAAATAAAGAGACAAATGAAATCCAAATGTATATATTGTACAAGAGCTGGGTCTGTGACGCTAACATGACCAAAAATGGACACCCAAGCCTGGCTGTCCCACCTTCTGGCACTGCAGCAAACTGAGTTCACCAAGGAAAGAACTTTGCTGGGGAAGAGAAATTGAACAGGGGCAATGCAAAACATCCTTTCTGCTGTGTTTATCCGACATAGGCAAACAAAGGGTCTGTGTGCAGAGGCTGAATGCTCCCTCGTGTTTCCCTAGTGTCCTGGTAAGGGAGAATTTAAGGTTAGGGGGGAGGTCTGTTTGGGTGATACAACTAATGGATGTTGCTTGCTCCAGATGGCTCCCTTGTTGCTGCTGGTCTGCCAGGAGGTCCGTGGCTGCCCAGCTGAGCAGAGCCAGGAGCTGTTACTGAGTGCCAAACAACAAGAAACCATCATGTCTCCTTTGTGCAATCACTGAATCATAGAATGGTTTGGGTTGGAAGGAACACTTAAGATCATTGAGTTCCAACCACTCTGCTATAGGCAGGGACACCTCCTTCTAGACCAGGTTGCTTACAGCAACCTGGGATGCAGTTCAGCTCAGAACTCCTCAGATGGAACTACTTGTGTTCCAGTTGGTGCCCATTGCCCTTGCTGGGCACCATCAAAAGGAGCCTGAACCCATCCTCCATGGAAAAGCTGCTGTGAATCCACCACCAAATGCAGGAGGGAGAACATTGCTTTCTCTGGGAACAAAAATGATAAGAGCAAAACATGAGTAACCTTGATTACCATGCTTTTATTTATGGTAAGCAGAACTGCTGATAGCTGGGGTCTCTTTCTTATATGTATATACACTGAGTACGCAGTGTACCCAAGGCTGAAAAGCAACAGACACAACAATGAAGACTTTGGTACAGCAAGTGAAAGTGTTGGAAATATGATGTCATGGTTTTAGCATCACTCCAGTGCTCTCAGTGAGTCTGCTAAGGGGTTTGGCTCTTTGGTACAATGAGAAGCTGTTCCTTCTCTCTTTTGTTCTTGTCCTGCTCGTTGTCCCGTGGCTGTTTTCACAGCCCTGGAGGTGGAACATCTTTGGCTGCTGTCATGAAAATGCTAACAGGGTGCCCATGGTTGGATAGCTTTGTAAAATGGGTTAGTAGCTTAAATCCTTAATAACGTGGGATTTGGGAGACGTGTTTGCCTGGTGCTTAGCCTGCCCAGGAGCTAATCTCTGCCGTTATAGAAATGCCCTTTGCAGCTTTTCCCACCTCTGCAAGTCCTCTCTCTTGATACCTGTAAAAAGCTCTGCTCATCACCTCCTCCTTCCTTTTCCTGGGGCGAGGGGTCTTCACAGTCACCTGTGCCATTTCCTGAAAGATTTCACAGATTCATCTTTTCCATTTATCAATGGTGCCAACCTGGAGGGGACCGTACCTCTGGCCAGGTCTGTCTATCTCCAGTCCCACTCACGTGCCAGCCTGCAGAGAGCAGGACACAGCCCAGCTTTCTCTCAAGCATGTGTTTAACCCTTCCTCCCTGTCACTCAGCCTCCCAGCTGTATTCCTGGGGACTTGCTGAACAGAATTGCCCTTGCTGATGCGTCTCAAGTGACTGCATTAAAGAGTTTGGCTCGGCTTTGAGGAACGCCCTTCTTACATACATTCTTCTCGCCTGTACCCATTCTTTTCTTTCATCTTTGCCACAAAATCCCAGTTGTCAGACCAAAGAGGAAATGTTTGAAATTACCCTTGAAAGTCAGTCATGTTTCATCTTTCTGTATTTTGAAGAAGCTTGGGCATTGCAAGGACTGCTTTTACAGCCACATTCTCTGACCCGATTGAATGAAGTACCACAGTTTTTGTGCCATTACCATACTTGTGGGATTCCTCTGATCACATGCAGCCATTTCAGCAGGTCTGGCCCTTCAAAAAATCAGCCTCTTCTCCCAGGTAACAGCAATAAGATGAGAGGTGATGGCCTTGGTTGCGCCAGGAGAGGGTCAGGTTGGATATTAGGAAATATTTCTCCTCTGAAAGAGTGGTCAGGCACTGGCACTGCTGCCCAGTGGTGGAATCACCATCCCTGGAGGTGTTCCAGAACCATGGAGACGTGGCACTGAGGGACGTGGTCATTGGGCATGGTGGGGATGGGTTGGGCTTGATGGTCTTTAGAGGTCCTTTCCAACCCATATGATTGTATGATTCTAAAGTCATCAATTCCTACCCCAGTGTGGATATCCTACTGCAGACTGGTGCTACTATTGAAGCTGCAAGAGCAGCACAAGAAGCTGAAGGATACACACGATGTATGAACACCTCAACTGTTACAGGATAAACTAAACGAGTCGTAACGTGGTTCACCCTGATGACCAGTTTAACACAGATGTAGCGCAAGGAATTGTGTAAAGGCAAAGAGTTTGGACACCGTGTTTGGTTGACATCTCATGACTCTATACAAGTTAGCATTTTTAGTATGGAGATTTCAGGTTCAGCCCATCCTGGTATTACTTTCTTTTGACTTCAGCTATGGAGGAGCCTCTTGGTGTGCTGGTAGAGTTGAGCACAGCCCTCCTGTTTGTCTTTGTGCTGTCCACAGCTCCATGTACTCCTGGAGGCCTTCCAGTGACTCCCTGAACCAAGCTAGCTCAGAGCTAGGCATGTTTTGTAGCTGCAGGTACGTGCTGTAATCCATCCTTACCTCATTTAATCCTGATGGGCAGAGGGAGTGAGAGGAGGAGAGACACGCAGGAGCGTTCTTTCTCTTCCCATTGTTTTTTCATGAGTGATGCTCGCTCCAGGGCTGTTATTGTTGGAGAGGTGCTGCTGGTGCTTATTGCAAAGGCACTCAAGAGCTGGGGTGTGGGCTTACACCTCAATCAGAATGACATTTAAGATGGGTTGCATGCTATACCCAAGCGTGCATAGTAGGAAATGTGAGAGGATTGACTTCAGATCCTTGAAGTAAAAAAAAAAAAAAATCCCCTGTGGGAATATCGTTAAAGTCCTGAGCACCTCTGGTAATTATATGTTGACATGAATTATTTGGACCCCAAATCAAGGTAACTCTAACCTGCACCTCCTTATGATGGATAAAGAGGAATTAATTAAAGCTGAGTTTTCCCTGAAGGGGAAGATGGCAGTAAGGACTGAGAGTAATTTCTCTTGTCGACCATTTTGGTTTGCCATGCCAGAATCCTTCCACAGAATAAAGAAAAAAAAGAAAAAGCAACAGTCTTAGAGAGTTTGCTGGTTCTGCAGATATAATTTCACGAGCAGTGCTCCCAAAAGGGAGCTGCAACACTACAGGTGAGGAGGGAGGGATCCGTGCTTCTTACATTGCTCTTAAGCGTTGCAGGCAAGCATTTCTCCTGTCTGCCATTGCAGGTGCTTCCCTTCATTCAGAGCAGCCCTTGGATTTTGCCATGAATCTTCCAGCACATCAGCGTGGTTCCAGCAAGTTTGCTGTGAAACGCAGATCCTGGCACATCAGCTGTGCTGCCAGACTTCCAGGAAACAGAGAAGGTTCAAGTCTATTTCAGCTTTTGCAACAGGTCAAGTTTAAATTGCTGGGCATGAAGAAAGCAGTCTCCCTTCCTCATCTATGGTGCAGCATCCAAAATTAACCAGCAGTTCTTCATTACTGCAGCCAGAAACCCCATTGCAAGCATGGAGATGTATTTCTACTGCGTATTTTCCAGCCCATGGTCTCTAAATTTATCCAAACAGTAGCACCATCTCTAAGCATCAGATGATGTAATTGCTTTTCCTGCCTTTTACTTTAGCATGTTTTCTTCAGATGACAAATATGTGCTCCTCTGGATGCTGTGAGGGCCCTGCCCATCTCCTGTTTATGGTGCCTTGCAGCACATGCCAGAACCTAAGAGCAGTCGTCTGTGCTTTCCACTCTGCAGTGAGAAGCTTTGGCTGCAGAGCCACTTCCTTGCCTCTTCCCTCTCTTAGTTTTGAGCCCTTGGTGCTCTTAAGTGTAAATCTACATGTCAGCCTTGATAATGAAGACCTGGAAGATATTTTGAAGACATGGTTGATAAAATACAGTATGTCTTTCCTTCCCTTCTCCTCTCCTCTGCCCAAGCACAGATTTCCTCTGCAAGGAGGTCCTCCGTCCTCCTTTCTTTACTATATATTTACATTTTTTGATGCTGTTGGCTCCAGTGTGGGCTTTTTTTTTTTTTTTTCTTTAATTGT